ACTATGATTTCGAATGTTTTGCTTGCAACTTGCTTCAACTGGCTTAACTGGTTTTGTCCGAAATTTCTATACTTATCATTATTAGCCATTACTATCATTATTCAACGCCTCATCAAGTTCCGCCAGAGAGAAAAAATAAATAAGCTCTGAAAAACGAGCACTATAAGCAGTAAAAGCCAGCACTAGCTGCTACTTTAGAAATTATTTGTACGCCCAAACACCGAAAAAAGCGAAATCTCCAGTGCATGTTGCGGAGAAGTGGAGAAAAAAATCAATCACTTTCACTGCTGGCCAAGAGAGTTTGTCATAGTCAAGTTTCTGGCCGGGTCTTGTCCGGGGTCTCTTCCCCCCTCTCCCCTCCCTCCCCCCTGTCGACAATTTTTATTGCTGCTTTTCACCCATTTACGCCAAGGCGATCTCTACACGTACCAAACAAACCAGCAATAGCAGCCAGCAAAGCGAAGAAAAAGGTTTGGCTTAGCCAACGAAACAACGAAACTCGTTTCGCTTTTTGCAAATGCAATAAGATACAAAGTTTGGGGCCCAGCAAATGTAGACCAACCGACTCAATGCTCTTTCGGTCGCCTGACTGACTAGTTGAATTTCGGTCAGATACGATTTGGTAACAAGTTTGCTATTTGCGGTGTGGAAAGTTTGATATATTTGACTAACTACCAAAACCATGTTTACTACTTAACACAAAAGGAGCTTATCATAGTAATTTTCATGATGACAAATGAAAAATAATAAATACCCCAAAAAGTGTAGAGAGACACCCGCATGGGACTCGACTCTACGATTCTACGATTCTACTTGAACGTTCAGTGAACTCACGATCGCTCTCTTTCGCTGCGAGTGCTTTTTGTCAAAACTGTCAAGTCAAAAGTTCAAAACGAGAAAAATGGTAAACGGGCCAGAATGAGGTCTATGGCGCAATGGGCTTCCGAGAACCGAGTTTTACAGCAGCCCAAAACCGCGGGGTCTTGACGTCTAGCGGCTGCTTCTTCCCTCTCGTTCTCATTGTTTGTTGCCTGTTTGCCGTTCGCTGTTTGCTGTTTGCTTGGCCCGGTTTAAAACGCAGCTCGGAAAAGTTTTCGAGTTAATGGCCACTTTGCTCATTATAAGCCAACTAAGTCTGACTGGGCCCAAACTCTTTGTGGTTTCTGCGGTTCTTTCGGCTCTTTTACCAGATGCTGCATGCTATTCTCTCTGTAGCAGGAATTCCTTCTTCTTTCAGCTGCGCTGCCTGTGGGCGCTTTCAATGCTCACAAATTTTAATCTACTTGATGCCAAAAGCCCTCAAAGTTAGCGACCACAAAGCCCAGCGCGCCGCTGAAAAGTGAGTCCGGAAAATTAAATGAAAAACTAACTGGAAAGGCTTAACAATCAATTTAGGGAAATTGAATAAAGCCCAAAGTTAAATTTTAAGCTTTTCTTTAAGTTGTACAAAATGTAAAATACAGTTTTGCACATAAATCAGTTTGCTTTGACATACACAATTGAAATTGAAACCATAAATACAATACGATATACGGCCTATATTAAATTTCTCTAATGTGAAATTGTTATCTTTAACACATTTTTTCTGAGCTTTAAAAAAAACTAAATCATGCGTATTGGCTTATCATTTCGATTGGAATGTTTCCATTTAAAGGTTAATAAAAAGCATAATAAATTTTTTGAATAAAACCCGGACTCATGAACCGCTGGCGAGCTATCAAGGAAAAACCAGCTAGCCATTTGGTAATTCATTTCATTAACCACGTTCTCTTTCTTATCGCACCTTATTTGCGGGAAAGAGGCCATGAAAAATCACATAAAAGTAATGTGTGATTTATAAAACAAATGGTCATTCGGCATTAAATTTAAGAGTCCGTCCAGCGTGGCGTATGAGCGATAATTGTGGGAAAGGTTCGGCTAGGTCCCCCCAAACATTCTGGGCACTCCCAGCCAAACCCGGCCAATCGACAATTAGAAGCCAAGTTAGCGGCCGCTTAGTGACTCACCAAACACGGCTCTCTGCCCCACAACGCGCGCACTGACCCAAATTGTGGTTAAGTGTGTGCCAGGGGAAGTGGCTGGGATGATGTTGGCCCGCAGAAAACATAAATCCAAGTGCTGGTCAACATTTCCGGAATTTTGATGCATTTCACTGGGGCCAGCGGGCCAGACTTGGCGTTAATAGAGTGTGAAAGAATTTTTACTGCAATTCACGGCGAGGCATACAAACAATCGAGTGAAAGACGAAGCTCAAGTGCCCTCTTAGCAAAGCCAATTTCGTGATGCAAGTGGGTACATTGCAGCTTGAAATTCAGTAAAACGGAAAATCATGCTAATGAATAATAAAATTCAAACCGTGCTACGTACTAACAACACTAACACATTTTGAACATATTTTTGGGTTTTATAAACTACCATTTTATAGACTACCTTAGTGACACAAAGCACAATCAAATATTTAAGAAGTTCCTCTTCATAAGCTGACATGATTATGATAAGAGCATATCCCCTCTAAAAGAGTGAGAAAAAAGATAAGAAGCCCAAAAAAGGAATTCCGCAAGATATTCTGAAAGAGTTTTTTAATTTACTGGTCCAACTTCCGGGTGGAAGCATGGTATAATTCTACCATGGGTGGAAGACCACAGAGTCTAAGTTTAGTACGTTCAGGTCATGATTTAGTGTGTTAATTGCTTTCTACTTTTTTTGCCGGAACCTTTGGGGGAAGCAGAGAAAAGAAGGCGGTGCAAAACCAGTCCAATGCCAGTAAATATCCATCACAAGACATTACACATTTCTTTTGACATTTATTCGCCACAAGGAGAAGGCTATAAATGACATTTTCCACTCAGCAATTTTATCTCTATCAATTCGTTTACTTATTGAACTGAAATCTGCGCACAAATGTCAGTTCGCTCTCATTGATTGAAATTGTTTTTGGAATCTTTTGCATAACATTGACACAACTGAGCCAACACAAAAGCCGAATCTAATACATATCCACAATGTCCTTACAGAGCAGAGAGATCGGAGGACAAGCGGCTCCAAATGTAATCGAAACCACAAAAGGGAGTTGAAGAGGGTTGAGGGGCTCAGGAACCAGAACCCCACATCAATCAAATACATTTTCGTTTTCTGTTTACTTTTTGCTGGCTTGTTTAGCTACAGATTGCTATACACTAATTTTATCGATTTCTATTGTGGTTGGCCGGCTTACATTTTAAATGGGAAATTATGTAAATGAAACTTTTGTTTGCGGCATTTGGGAAATGCCTTGAAATGATTTGATTTCGATTGTATTGCCAAAGGATTTGCTTTGATAGAAAAGAGTTTCCCCTCAGACGAGTAAATACTTTCAAATGGATTCTTGACAATGTTTGACTTCTTTGAAGTCACTTTTCAGCTGCTTTGCAAGACTTATTTTCGAAATGTTAATTAGAGATTTGATCAACATGTTATCAATTTAAAAGATTACAAACTTGAAATCACTGACATTTGTAATTATTGATAGTTTGTAGTCAATTACAACAGTCTTACAATCTTCGCTATGCTTTACTGTAATCTCACAGCAAGTTTTTGATTAGGAACAAAAACTTATGTGGATTAAAAGTTAAACTGAGTAGCGACATCCACAATTTATATCGCAGTGCTACTGATAACACAATTAACGTCAGAAATCCGCCGCAATAGCTCTAGTCAAAACATTATAATCTTTTCTTTCTTCTGTTGCCTTACAATTGTTTGCATATACATACATACATATGTACATACAATTGTTTGCATATACATACATACATATGTACATAGTTCTGTGTCGTTATCTTGGTTAAAATTCGGAAACCCCAAAAAACTTTTACGGTAATTAACGTTGCTGAGATTGATTGGGGAAATCTTTAATTGGCCGACACATTAACATTTTAAAATTTAACCAATATAATCAGAATCCAATATTCTCGTCGATCAAATAATTATGAAGCACATCTATAGTCTGAAATAAAAAGTCTCTCGAACTCAGCCGCTACTAGTAATTACATTGTGCACACTGTCTTACGAGTTGAACTTTATGTATAATATTTATATGCCCACTTATATATGGACGTACATCATTTTCTAAAACATAAATAATTTGATAAGCTCAAACAGTTATCCGGCTGAGGAAGTTAATGTGGCAAATCAGAGAAAATAATGAGGAAAAAATTCTTTGCAACTTATCACAAAATGGGCCTTGGTCTGCTCCCAGATAAAAAGTGGATATATAAAAAGACTATTGCAAAGAAACTGTTGTAGCGATTGAACGAGTTGCCGGCTCCGTGTGGATAAGCTGTAACAGACGTTTACGATTTGAGTTTATACAACAATCAGAACAAAACTTTACACAACCTCATTTAGGAATGGCATTTAAAATCAAGCAGAATATTTATACTTTATTAGGCAATACCAACGCCTAAACTTGTGTCTTAAAAACCTGACAGACATTGTGGCACCTCATCTTATTACCAAACAATTTTTACAACCTCTACTTTTAGGAACTGTTTAGCACTTGGGTGCTCAAAAAGTAAATATTTTGAACAGTGAACAGCAAACTTGATTCAAAGTCTTTTCTAAAAGCAAATGATGTAAACAAGCTCACAAATAAGTCTATAATTGTTTCACAGTCTCTCATTCAAGATAAAAGTCTTTTTTTAATTCCTAAATGTTAAAAACCCAATAAACTTAACTAGTTCTAACAGTACTTATAGTACAGTATTCTTTAATAAGAATCTGTAAAAAATAGTTTGTGTAAACACCACCAAAATTATTAAAAGATTTGTATTCAATACTATTATTAAACATAACTGAAAACTTTGGAGATAGCCAACATCAAAGCTGCCATGGTTAGCCAAAGAAAGAAAATACCCCGCAATAACACTCCGCTTGAGGTGCGTTAAAACATTGCTCGCCTGTCGGCTTACGACGGTCGCCGTCGCCTTTCACTTTCTTCCCGGATGTCTGCGCCCACTCACCTTTGATCCTCGAGCAGCTTCTCGGCCTGAGCGAGACGCAGGCGGACTGTCTTCATGCTCTGGATGGGGAAGAGGCGGCAGAATCGCGTGAGGAACGCGGGGCGCCAGCAGAAGCGGGGAAACTCGCGGCAGACGTCCCACAGACGGGTGTTGTGCTCGAACAGATAGGTGTGCGTCTTGCCGAAGTTCAGGTAGTCCAGCATGTCGGCGTAGTCGCAGTTGAGCAGGTTCTTCAGGTTCTGCACGGCCAGCTCCTGGTCGTCGGGGTCGCGGATCTGTTTGATCCCGAAGTCGAGCAGCGGCTCGTAGTGGTAGAAGTTGCCCGGAATCGAGTTGAGGATGTCGCCCAGGAAGGTGGAGCCAGAGCGCCAGGAGGTGACCACCACGCTGCGCACCGGGGTGCCGTTCGTCTCCGGCGTCATGTCCGCCAGCCTCTCGGCGCCGCCGCGCGGATACTCAAAGTTCTCCATTTCAGCCAGGATGCGCGACCGTTGAGCCGACAGGACATCCACTATAGTAGCCGTCAGGTTGTAGACGACCGTCTGCGACGGCTGCTGCTGCAGTTGCTGCTGGAAGCGCTCGTAGAAGGCGCTGCGCGCCAGCGAATTGGAAGGACCCCCATCCACGGACGCGCCCACTCCGGCCACGCCCGCCCCCTGGTCCCGGCCAGCCGACTGGTTGAACGGGGTGGTCAGCGGACGGTGCTGGGTGGTGGCAATCAGCAGCAGGATGCACAGGCTGCTCACGCCGCAGATGCCGATCAGATTGGCCCTGCGCGACATCCGGCTGCGTAGCCGCTTCCCGTTCAAACTGAGCCGCTGCTTAGCGCGTGTCCTGCCGGGTTCGGCGCTCGACAGGTCCTGCTGGCCGAGCAGGGAGCTCGCCTCCAGGTCTGGGTCCAGGTTCAGGTGCTCCTCCGATCCGCCTCCTTTCATTGGTGGCTGGCTGGCCGCTTTCTCGAGGTCGCTGCAGCAGTTCACTGCTGCTGCTGCTGCTGGTCGCTGGTCGCTGGCTCCTGGCTAATCGCTGGTTCTCGGCTAGGCTCGCTCGCGCTCCCACACGCACATAGTTATCGCCCCAGCGCCCTCAACTCGAGCGCATTGCAGATCGGCTGCGGATGTCGCGTCGTATTTTTATCTCGTTTTTCCGTAGTTTTCAGCTGATATTCCGCGACGCGATTCGATGCGAACGAAACGATTGACAACAACAAAGTGACCGTTCACGGATTGTGGAAACATACCAGAGAGTATCAGAAGTGGTTATGGGAATATACCCTAAATAATCCTCAGTCTCGCCAACGGAAGTGCAAGCCGCGGTAGCAAACTTTGATAGATAAGCAAATTTATTTCAGGTGCTATTTAAAAAATACTTTTATTGAAAATTATAATTATTAGCAGAAGCCACCTGTATCAAAAATAGATGAGTTACAAATAATATTATCCCAAAGTCCGATCTTTCTGATTTTACCAAATTTACAATTTATAAACAGAAAAGTTTAACTGCTAGGTGAATCATAAAAACCCAACTCAATAATTTTGGTTTAGTCTGAATAAAAATAGTAAAGCAAATATTGTTTTATCTATGTTTATAATTTTGAATGAATTGACTGCTGTCCTTTTTCAGGCCACTAATTTGAACTTTTCCTATTGTTTTCCTTTCTATTTTATTAACTACTATTGCTAATTATAATAATGTTTATGAGAAAAAGACCCAATTACAACCCAATTCTGATGATTGCTCTTTTAACTCGACCCCAAAAACTTAAGCCTTGCCCAAGATCGGTTCAAATGTTTCTGATGAAAATTTCTCAAAGTCCTGAATCAAGCGATAGCCCCATAAGTCCATGGCCTCGCCACAGACGTTCTGCACCGCCCTTATGTCCTCCACCTTCATTTTGCTCATCCAGTCGTGAGCAGGCTGGTTGAAGAGCCTCCAATGGCTGTCCAATCCCGAGGACTCTACGCCATGTCCGCTGCGCGGATGAATCCACCGAGTCATGGTCTTTTGCCCTCTTAATGGAAGACCATAGAAGTCGAATACCACCTTTATACTCTCTTCAGGCTGCGAAACCAAGTCCTCGTAACGTAATATACTGTGAAATGAGGAAAACAGGACTAAAGAGGTTAAAAATACATAAGTTTGTAACAACTTAATGCGTTGAATGCGTTGTTTTGCAACCAAAACATTTAACCTTTGTAAATCCGAAATCCTCACCTGAATCGTTGCGGATAGGATTGGGTGAGTGTTTCAACCATGTGGTGGTCGCTGATCATGTCGTTGCAAAGGGTCTTCGCTTCGCAATCCTTTTCTGTCGTGCACCACTTGTTATGCATCCGCGAGTAAATAGTGCCGCGAGGATCGCGAACAATCAGCATAATTCGTAAATTCAGTCTAGAAAAGGGATTCAAATTAACCAAAAGTTCTTAGTATTAGTTTTCTGTTTTCAATTCTCAAAAAATGAAAGGCAAAACCTCAACTTGGTTTAAAAATAAGATCGAAAATATGAAGCTTATTAACCTTATGGATAAAAATGAAATTAAAATGTTACAATTAAATTCCCTGAATTAGAACTCCCAACTACTCACCCTTCGCGTGCCAGGAGGGTGGCTAGGAACTTGAGCCGCAAGTTGTACACGGCCATGTTGATGAACGGGTAGAGCTTGCAGACGGCGGCCATCGTTTGTGAATCCCAGCAGATCTCCTGGCTGTGGGTCATGCAGGTCTTCGCCTGGGCGCCGTAGAACCGGCGGAAGACCGGCGAGCGCATTCCCCAGCGAATCATTTCAGCGGACTTGTTGTAGTTGCAGTTGTACAGCGCCACCAGCTCCTCCAGAGCCCGCTGGTGCTCCTTCTCGGCGTTCGGGCGGCTCTCGTAGGCGATCAGTGGAGCAAAGTGCTGGTAGCAGCCCGGCTGGTGCGCCAGGTTGTCCAGCAGGGACAGGGCTCCCGAGCCCCGGAACGTGACCAGCATGGACCGGATCGGCTGGCCACCGGTCTCCAGGGTGAAGTTGCTTATGTCGCCCAGGTGGCGCGTCTTGTGGGCCACCACCGACCGCTGCAGAGCCACCGGATCCGGCATCAGAATGGGCAAAATGAGGAATACGAAGAGGACATAAGTCGTATAGACGCCCACGCAAACACCGGTGAACTTGGCTGTACGCGAAACCTGCACCATGTCTAAAATTTAAACTATTTTCCAACCTCGACACTTCAAATTTTTAAATAGATCTGAATGGACGTATTATTTTTGTCTGACAGAAAATGCTTTGGTACTACAATACCTCCCAAAAATGACACAAGCACTTGGTGGTTGTTTATCTTGTAACATGCTACCTTTATTGGCATATCATTTGTATTTTATATACTTTTAATAGTTAATAATAAATTGTCGTTAGTCAATAACTAAAGTACTAGTATTGCTATATATTTAAGGTAAATATTTCGAAGTTCAATCCTTTAATATATATATATTAATTTTGTATAAGATCCACTATGCCGCTGAAAATCGATAAACTTTTGAAAAATAAAAGAGTTTCGGACTAGGCAACCGCTAGAATCTCTAAAAGTAAATTAATAAGGATTAGTAGCAGCAAATTGATCATGCTCTGGCAAATCTCGAGAAATTTCGTTAGATTTCTGGCACTAAATATGTATTCTGAAAAATGTAACCTGTATTATGATTCAATACGTATATATGTCGGTATATTTGTTATAAAGTCTGTTTCTTTTTTATCAAGGCAAGGTTTTATGATGGGGATGATGGCGTGCAAAGGATGTCTGATCCTTACAACCGTATGTTTGCGAGTTAAGCTCATAGAAATATGGCCAGCAAGAGCAGCTTAAGAAGTTATCCTTAAAATGTATGGAATAATATTGAAGATAAAAAGTTATAGTGTGACTATAAACATAACTTACTAATGATCTGATGATGGGAATTAGTCGACAAAACATATCTTAGCTTACACATAAGTATTTGTAAAAAAAAATGTTTAATACGTTGTTTAAAAACTTCGAATTACGTATTATAAATTTGCTTTCCTTTTTACTTACTTATGCAATAACTAAGGAAAGAGTCGGTAAGAGTCCCAAATATAAACTAGGAACGTGAGTAACATTTGGGACTGAGGCTCCACCAACATTAAAGTTAATACTAAATGATTAATACCATCGCTGTCCCTCGAATGTCTTGGTTTTTATCTTAATCGCTGTTACCCTCGGTCTCATCGTCCAGAAGCAAGCTTGTCGAACCATAGCTACGGAGTCTAAAATGAAAAACAAATTTAAATGAACATAGGGGAATGATTAATTCAAGATTCAAAATAAAGAAAATGTTATATAGCATTCAAAGCTTACATTCAGAAATATTAACAAATAGTTAACGATAAAATGCTTATGGTTAAGGTTAGGATTTAGTAGGACTGTTAACTCTTTACTGAAATTACGGAATTGCTTCAAATATGATATGTAAGCATCGGTTAATATTAGGGATTACGTACAGTTGAAAATAAAAAAACCATAATTACTTTTAAACAAAATGGAAAAGTGTTTTGTAATAACTCCGATCGTGGTTAATGCACCTCCTCACATCTCACCTCATCGTCGGACACTTTAAGACCATCTAGATTAATGCTGTTCCTGGCATAGCCTGCGCCTGCCGATTGCTCCTTCTCATACAGCTGTCGGTTGAGCTCGTCCTTGCTGGAAGTGGAGCTGCTGCCTCCGTTGGTGGTTCCCTTCAACGGCAGGGCGAGATTCGCCCGACTGGCACTGCTTCCTGCGCTCCCGTACCGTCCGTTTCCGGAGCGCTGCCTCTGGTGGTGATGATGGTGCTGGCCGTGTGGGTTGTCGAACTTCTGCTTGGCCCGCTCGAACTCCAAGTTCCTCGACTTGGACTCGAATATGTTCTCCTCGAGATGCGTGGGCTTGGCATCGTAGAAGGCAGCTGCTGCTGCTGCCGCCGCTGCTGCAGATGCCGCAGCACTGCTCTGCTGCTGCTGCAGGAGCGTGCGCTCCGTGTGACTAGATCTCTTGACAGAAGCCGCGTGATGGACAGCTGCATCGCTGCCGTTGTGGGAGCTCCTCAAGCACGCCTGCGAGTCATCGAAGATCTGGCGCAGATCGTTGATGTTCGGCAGACAATCGTTGGGCAGCTCCACGGCGATCTTGTTCCTCAGCTGCACCCCGCCCATTGCCCGCATCTGCGGACTCGGGGCTCGTCTGGTTTTAGTGGGTTACGGGTGGGTAAGGAGTGGGGTTAATAGCCAAGCCAGCACCATTGAAAGGTTAGTTTTTGTTAGAGTTAGTGAAGAGACCTATCGGTAGGTAAGTGTGGATGTTTTGGCTAGTCTTACCTGTTCTGAAGGTGCTGTATCTGCACCTGGAGGCCCTCCGTCTGACCCACGAGTTCATCATTGGAGCGCTGCAATCGGCGCACTTGGTTCACGGCCGAATCCAGTTCGTCCTCGGCGCCAGCTAGCTCCCGCTTTAACTCCTCCACTCGCTGTCGAAGCCGCTTAACCTGAAATAGGAATGGGGATATATACTAAATCTTTCTAAAAACCATTAAGCAAAAACTTCTTAAAAGAGATTCCACTGCAGGCAAAATACAATGCTTTGGAAATTTTCCATTAAAATAGTTTTAATTAATTTTTTTTTTTTTTTTTTTTGCAGAAATTATAAATGTATCGACTTTTCGAGCAAAATGTAATATTGGTTTTAGACAGTGGTTTGATTTATATTTTCTATTAAAACCTCTAAAATTTTAGCTTAAAAAGTTTTTATAGTTTGATTGGCCTTTGTTTCATAAAAAGTTTTGCTACGTTTAAACGCATTATAACTATAGATTATAAAAACAAAATTAAAATAAAAGTATAGGAGCTAAAAAAAAAAAAGGACAAAGAAATTATTTAATAAATAAAACAATTCGGTACATTATTTTAGGAAATCTCTTAAATTTAGACAAAAATATTCCATCGGCCTTCCAGAAATTATGGTAGTTAGAACACCAAACGAGGGGCGTGTCTTGCAGTCCTCAAATTCGAGTGATAAGCGGACGACCCCCGCCAAGTGTTGATAACATTCGAGTTGGAAAATTTTCCTCCCGTTCACTCTTGGTTTCTATCGTCAAGTCAAAAATAAATGCGATAATGCAAAAAATTTAGAGCCCGCAGATTAAGATCGGGCTCGATCATAACAACAATATTATTTTGGGGTAAACAAAGCAAAGAGAGGAGAAGAGAAAAATAGGAAGAGAGGCGCGAGGAGCGGTCAGCGATTTCCGAAAGCTCTCGCTGCAGATTGGAGCTTTCTTCATTCTCTCGCCGAACGTCGAATCGAGCAGCTGTTCCGTGGAGAACCGGCTGATTATTTCCGACCAAACACAAAGCCAAACAGAACGAAGTTGGAAAAATGATTGCGCAAAGTGTAATCAGCAAACTGCGGCCCTGTGCCACCCGACTGGCCAGCTCTAGCACCAAAGCCGCAGCCCCCAAGTTCAACTGGCAGGATCCCCTGAACCTGGAGAGCCAGCTGACCGAGGAGGAGGTGGCTATTCGGGACGCGTTCCGCGGTTACTGCCAGGCGGAGCTTCTGCCGCGCGTGAAGGTGGCCAACCGCCTGGAAACGTTCGACAAGAAGATCATGGAGGAGATCGGCAGCTTGGGAGTCCTGGGCTGCACCATCAAGGGATACGGCTGCGCCGGGGTCTCCAGTGTCGCCTACGGTCTGCTGACCCGCGAGGTGGAGCGCGTGGACTCCGCCTACCGGTCCGCCGTGAGTGTCCAGAGTTCTCTGGCCATGGGCGCGATCTACGACTTTGGCTCCGAGGAGCAGAAGCAACGCTATCTGCCCAGCATGGCTGAGGGCAAGCTGATAGGTGAGTTTTCGACGACCAAACCTTATTGAAGAGAATTATTGGAAGTCGTAAAAAAACATATTTTGGGGGATTATAGGTGAATTATGTAAATGCTTTTTTGAATATAGTCTGTGCGAGATAAACGAGCACTCTTTAAATTAATGAAACTAAAATTTTGAATTTTAAGAAATTGTTTTATAAGTATCTATCACCACTCAACAGAAAAAAAAGATAAAGATAAAAATATTCAATAAATGTGAAGATTCTATGATGAAAGAAGTGTTAGTTTCCACAACACTTCCTTTTAAAACCAAATGTACTACAAATTAAGCGATTCATGATTTCATAACCTTTCCAGGTGCCTTTGGACTAACTGAACCCAACCACGGCAGCGATCCGGCTGGAATGGAGACCCGTGCCAAGTACGATAGCAAGAGCAAGACATACATTCTTAACGGCTCCAAGACCTGGATTACAAGTGCGCCCATAGCCGATGTGATAGTCGTTTGGGCCAAATGCGAAGACGGCAAGGTGCGCGGCTTCCTGGTGGACCGAAAGATATCCGGCCAGGGATTGGACACGCCCAAGATCGAGGGCAAGTTCTCGCTGCGCGCTTCGCCGACGGGCATGATCCTGTTGGACGAGGTCCGAGTGCCGGAGGAGCAGTTGCTGCCCAATGCGTTGGGATTCAGCGGACCTTTCACCTGCCTAAACAATGCCCGCTACGGAATCGCTTGGGGCGCCCTGGGAGCAGCGGAGGCTTGTGTGGAGATCGCCCGTCAGTATACTTTGGATCGCAAGCAATTCGGACGCCCTTTGGCTGCTAATCAGTTGATACAGAAGAAGCTTGCCGATGCCACGACGGAGATTGCCTTGGGCTTGCAGGCGTGTCTGCACGTCGGTCGCCTCAAGGACCAGAAGCTGCACACACCCGAGATGATTTCCCTTCTGAAGCGGAACAACACCGGCAAATCCCTGGATATCGCCCGCCAAATGAGGGATGTGCTGGGCGGCAATGGCATCAGCGACGAGTACCACGTGATCCGGCATGTAATGAACCTGGAGTCAGTCAACACCTATGAGGGCACGCACGACATCCACGCCTTGATATTGGGACGGGCCATCACAGGTCTGCCGGCATTCGCTAACTAACTCCCTCTTAAATCTTAAATCCGAGGAACTGCATTTACAAACTTGTTTTATGTTCGAGTGTCAGTGTGAATAAATGTTAATGAAATCCAATTTGGCAAAGAAAGCGCTTCATCTCTAAGTACCTGTACAGTTTCCCTGGGTTGATAAGCTGATAGGCGTAATCTGCTCAATATATCATCCGATAAGATTTTCGGGTGTGGATTTACTCACCTCCGCTTCGTACTGCTCCGCTCGGCGCACGGCGTGTCCCAACTCCGTGTTCGTTTCGGCCAGCAGCTTCTTCAGCTTGGCGTGCGACATCTTCACCTCGCTGATCTCCTTGTTGCGCTCGGAGAGCTCCTGCTGCAGTGCTCGCACCTCCACGTCGTTAGCCTGCATGGGTCGGCACTTGCGGTCGGATCGTTCTTGGTAGTCCCGCAGTTCTGCGCGCAATTTCTTGTTGTCCCGCTCCATGGCCAACTTCTCCGACTCGAGCCGCTCACGCTTGCCCCATTCGGAGGCGTTCTCCGCCTGAAGGTGTTCCAACTCAGTGCGAAGTTCAGTAAGGCTAAAGCGATCACCAAGTTAGATTCCAGCCAAAATAAAACGAGCCAATTTGCTTACCGACGCTCGAGATTCTCACGAGCGGCAATCTCCTCCTGCAGCGAGTTGTTAACGATACGCATCTCAGCACGATGTTGCTCTTGAAGAGTAAGTAGTTCGCGCACTGCCTCCTGTTTGGCCGAGCGCATCTCCTCCTGGCGCCCACGCACATCCTGAATCTCCAGTGTCAACTTTTCGATGCTCTTGTGCAGCTCCAGCTTCTCACTTCGAATTATGAAAACATTTTAAAAGTCGTTGTATTTAAGGAATATCGTTTACTTACTCTCTTTCTGCTTGTAGGGTTTTCTGTGCCTCGTCCAAGCGCAACTGCAGCATGGATATTTTCTGCATCAAGTAGTCCTCGTCAAAGTCATCCTTCGACAGCTGCTGGATTAAACGCTTCTCCTCGGCAGCCGCCGCTTCATCTAACTCGGTCAGATGCTTCGGCATGGCTCCTTTCAGGGCAAACTCCTCGATGTCCAGATCCTTGACGTCGTTGGGTAATTTAGTCACCAGGCCATCCTCGCTGTTAACGTTCTTCAATCCATCCGAAGAGATGTCCGGCGAGCAGTTGGCATCCCGTCCGTTGGCCTCCGCATCCTCGCTGGTGTCGGCGCGATGGAACTGGCCAGCATGCTTCATCATCAGCGAGTGCACCTTTTCCATCTCCTTCTTCAGCTGCGTGATCTGCAGCTCGAGATCGTTCTTCTCCCGCTTCAGGGAGTGGGCCTCCTTCATAGCGCCGTCCAGTTTGAGGCTTAACTGCTTCGACTCCTCTCTGGCTTTGTTCCGCTCGTTGCGGACCTGTGAAAAGTGAAAATGTTTGTTATTGGATACCGGCGATATTGAACCAACTTGGAAGCCATGGCAACCGTCATTACCTTACTCCACTTCTCTCGCCAGTTGGCAGTGCAATCGGACCTAGAAAGGTTTATGTTTGGTCAACAGATGGCAGGGATTCTAAGTAACGGATATTTACTTACCACCATTTCATGGTCTTCTCCATTTGCGCCGCCCTGGCTCGAGCTTCATGCAGTTCTCTTTGCCTTTGAGACTATTTAAGAAAATCGGACTCAATATCTGGCATCTTGGAAATGATTTTATCCTCTCCACGTACCTCTCTTGCCTCCCATTCCGTTTCTCCATATCTGGCCGACATGGTGGTCCCAATGACGCCCACGCCGCCCACTTCATTAGGGCGTCTGCTGCCGCCCACCGGTGCAGCGGCTGCACTCTGCGTTGTGGATGCGGCCTGCGACATTTCGCTGGTGTCTTTTCTTGAGTTCTGATTGTACTTCTTCTTCCGTCACAGCTGCCTAGCTAATCTGCTGCATTGTGGGCGTATTTTTGCAGTTTTTATGTGACAAAGCTGAAACTGAATACAGAAAATAAATTGCAATGCCATTCGCCCGCGAACGTCAACAGCTGTTGTTGTTTACTAGTCGCTGTGAATGACCAGTTGCAACTGACCAGGGCTACCAAATGTTCATAAGGTTCCAGACCAGTTCGAAACTAATTTTGATAAATCCCAATTTCAACGTCTGAAACGGAGTTCTCACAAATCGATTATGTTCTACAGCTTTTAATATGCTTAAATGACATAAGCAAATATTTCTGCATCGTATCAAAAAATTGTAAGTTATTGTTAATTTATTTTGCCCAAATTGTGAAAACACCATAAGTATGTCAAATGTAATGAATTAAATTGTTAATAAACTCATTCTTTTATAAATTAAATTAAATCTTGTCAACATAAACAAAATAAATTTTAAAAATTAAACCAAAGATTTTATGGAGCACCCCTATCATTTATCTTGCAGTTTGTCAACCCTAAACGATAGAAGAAGCAACGTGATAACTGGAAACGCCGCTTTATTTTTGCAGATATTGTTTTTCATAGCAGAAAACCTTTGAAATATGGCCAAACATCATCCGGATTTGATTTTTTGCCGCAAACAACCTGGCGTAGGTGAGTTCTCAAAGGAAAAAGCAAGAAAATGTCTGGGAAAACAGTAATGTTTACATTTTCCACCTTCCCTTGCGGCAGCCATTGGACGCCTGTGTGAAAAAGATGACGGAAAATGTGTGATCTGCGATTCCTATGTAAGACCATGCACTTTGGTCCGCATCTGCGATGAGTGCAACTACGGATCCTACCAGGGAAGGTGTGTCATCTGCGGAGGTCCCGGAGTTTCCGATGCGTACTATTGCAAGTCCTGCACCATTCAGGAAAAGGACGTGAGTTGCAGTTCGATATTGGCGGGGAATATTGCGGTATTAATTATTGATTTGTTTTTTTTTTTTCTAGCGCGATGGTTGCCCCAAAATCGTGAACCTGGGTAGCTCCAAGACTGATCTGTTCTATGAGCGCAAGAAATATGGATTTAAACAGAAGTTAGTATTTAACTTTGTATTCATTAATAGTTGAGAGAAGCTGTAGACATATTGTTTCCAAAACTCTAAATATGTTCAAAAGAAACATACAATGCACTTGTGTAGCTTCTGTTATGACTTGTCTGTATATAAATTACATCCAATGGTTTTGTTTTCTCGTTACAGCTACTGATGTGCTCTCCACTACCTCATACATTTCTAATAAATTTTTATTGTAGTTTAATACATAAACAAAGGGTTTTGATAAATGAATATTTGGAATTTCTTGTTATGTCTAGACGGCCAGCAGTTTTTCTCCCCCGTCAACATCATATTGCAGGCACAGGCGGTCAAACTCTGCGGACTTCTTATCCAGATCGGTGACAAAGTCGCTCTTGGGGTAAAACTGCCTCAGTTGCTCCAGGTTCCGGGTGATGGCTTCCGCCGGCTTGGCCGTGAGATGGGCCAGCACCATGAGGTTGATTAGTGTGTCGTAGTCATTGTGCTTTTTAAGCAGCGATTCGCGCAGTACGGAGTCGGCCTCCTCGTACCGCTCCAGCCCCAAATGCACCACTGCCTGGCCGTTGAGTAAGGCCGGAGTGGGCTTGAATTTCTCGCAGAACTCCTGGTAAATGTGAAAGGCGTCCTGCATCTGTTCCGTGCCCTGAGCGAGGGCTACCCAAGCTTGGGCGAGCTGCGTCAGCGTGGCGTCGTCGCTAATCTCCTGCATCTTGGCGACGAGTTGCTTGGCCAAATCGACCCGCTGCAGACGCAGCAGGCACTGCACGGAAAGAGCTATGGACTCTAGGTTGGTGGAGCCGTGGAGGATCTTCAGGGCATTCTCGAACTGCCCGTCATGACAATAGACGATGGCGGTGGCAATGTGCCAGATGTTCGTCTCGTCTTCTTCGCCAGCCACCTTATCGGTAAGCTTCTCCAGCAGCTCCTCCGTCCGCGATGGCTGTTCAAAGGCTTCGTGCACCAGTCGCAGGGCCTGCAGGGGCGTGGAATTTCCCTCCTTAATGTCCGAGGCCACGATTCGCCCGGAATCAATGGCCAAGTACGAGAGATACATGTAAGACAGAAGCTCGGATCCCGCAGTTCCTTGCTCCGGCAGCACAAAGTTGATCGAGCCCATGAAGTTTCCGATGTAATACTCGTTGCGGGCATCAAACAGCGCCGAAGTGGTGTCTTCTTCGTTCTGTCGGCTCATATCGCTGATTATTTGTAAATTTGGAAGCAAAACACAGATTATTTTCGGCTGAGTTGGCCGAGTCGAGTTGTCAAAGTGTGACCGTTTCGCTCAATCTCAAAACGTCGATTAAAATAAGGGGTGGCATCGCCGTTTTGTCTAAAAAGAAAAGTTAAAGCTGGCAACTATGTACTAGTGCCCCATTTATGAGATCGCTAATGATATGAATTTTCGAATTTGTTTCTCAGTTACACTAAACGCTTCCTATTGTAATTTTTCAAATACAGTAGAATCCCGATTATCCGAACATCGATTATCCGGACTCATTCATTTTCATTGATAGCGTTCAACAGAAAGATTGAATGACGAACATCTTCCAACAAGCTCAATGAAGACATTCGGTTGATTTGTTGTGACGGAACATACTGTCACGCTTTCCTCGTTCTCATCAAACTGAAGTTTCACCGGAGTTACAGTTGTCCGAGAACAAGAAAAGCGTGACACTGTCACTGACAGTATGTTCCGTCACAACAAATCAACCGAATGTCTTCATTGAGCTTGTTGGAAGATGTTCGTCATTCAATAAACTCCTGCGGATTATGGCATATGTGAATCGATTTATTCAAGGGAAGAAAAATAATCGCGATATTGTTATTTCGGCCAACGAACTGAAGTTATCGTTTCTAAGAATGGTCCAAATATATCAAAGAGCTGATTTTGGTTTAGAATATGTCAAGTTAGAGAAATCTGAAACTTTAAGCCCACATCTCCAACGTCTAAATCCGTTCTTACACACAAGCGAACTAGAAGGCGTAACACTTCAATTAATCCGAGTTGGGGGAAGGTTGTTAAATGCACCAATACCGTATGATGCCAAATTTCCACTGTTACTGTCCTCAAAATCAGAATTTGTTTCGCTGTTTCTTCGAGACCTGCATCGTACTCATTACCATGCTGGTGTCAAAGTGATGGTATCACTTTCGAGGCAGCAGATATGGCTTATCAATGCGCGAGAAGCGTGCACAAAAGTTGTCCGTAGCTGTGTCCACTGTTTCAAATACAAACCAGTGCTAATGGGTCAGATAATGGGCAATTTGCCAGCCGATAGGGTCAAGATAGCACGCCCCTTTTTGGTTTGCGGGGTAGACTTTTGCGGACCATTTTATGTGTCACTAAAGATCCGCGGTAAACCTCCTATCAAGACTTATGTTGCCGTTTTCGTGTGTTTTTCGTCAAAGGCTGTTCACCTTGAGCTCGTTGTAGATTTATCAACTGACAGCTTCTTATCCGTTTTTAAAAGGTTCGTCGGGAGGAGAGGGCTGCCTCAGAAGATGTACAGCGACAACGCCACGAACTTCGTGGGAGCGAGCAACGTGCTCAAGGATCTGAGCGCAGCGTTCCACCGCAGTCAGGAACAGTTGAGAGGATACGCGGCTCAGAGAGGCGTCGAGTGGTGTTTCATACCGCCGAGGTCACCACACTTCGGAGGACTGTGGGAGGCAGCAGTCAAGGCCGCCAAACACCGGCTGCTGCGAGGAGTCGGCAACGCCAAGCTGACAGCGGACGAGCTCAGCACCCATCTGGTCGAGGTAGAGGCGCTGCTCAATTCTCGACCAATCGCGTCGCCAGGCAACGATCCCAACGATGGAGAGGCCCTGACTCCAGGACATCTGCTTATCGGACAGCCTCTGATCACGCTGCCGCAAGAGTCCGGCACAGACGGAATCTCCAGCAAGGCCAGTTGCGGATATTTGAGGCGGTGGCGAATGCTGTCCGATCTCAAGCAGCAGTTTTGGGCCAGCTGGTCCAGGGACTACATCGCCAGCAATGTGAATCCGGGAGAGTTTTCCCGGAAAAAATTACGTTTAAATAATTAAACAAATGAGACTGGCGACTAGCTGCTGGGGAATTTTTAAGAAGGCGAAAAACAAGACGAGAACGAATTTGGTTCCAATACGTTTATTGCTGCTGCCAGCTGCTTCGAGGTTCGATCGGTTAATAATCTCCCGAGAGCAGCATATCATTTCGCATAGCCACGAACCGAAAAGCTTATCAGCTAGATCGGCTATGCTCAAGCTTGAGTGCAACTGATAAGCTTTTGTACATTGGTTTAAGGTGATTTGTTTACATTCTGGCTGCATATATTCAATTCATTCTTTCTTTCAACTATCCTTAAAACTAACAATAAAACTAAATCTACTGCTCCAACATTCCGGCCCCGTTGAAGGCCTCCGGCGCTTTAACCTCCTCGTTAGGAGCGTTGCTTACTGGCAGCAATGCCAGCTTGTGGATGGCGCGCTTGATGACGCCTCCTGACGTCCGTACATCGCCAGCCTGCAGCATCGCAACAAGTGGTGCGTCGAGGGCCGCGATCTGGAGGTCGGGTGCCTGGTGCTCGTGCACGAGGACAACATGCCCCCGCAAAGATGGCTCACAGGCCGCGTGGTGGCAACAACAGGTGGTGAGGACGGAAGAGTGCGTGTGGCGGAGGTACGGACGTCAGGAGGCGTCATCAAGCGCGCCATCCACAAGCTGGCATTGCTGCCAGTAAGCAACGCTCCTAACGAGGAGGTTAAAGCGCCGGAGGCCTTCAACGGGGCCGGAATGTTGGAGCAGTAGATTTAGTTTTATTGTTAGTTTTAAGGATAGTTGAAAGAAAGAATGAATTGAATATATGCAGCCAGAATGTAAACAAATCACCTTAAACCAATGTACAAAAGCTTATCAGTTGCACTCAAGCTTGAGCATAGCCGATCTAGCTGATAAGCTTTTCTGTTCGTGGCTATGCGAAATGATATGCTGCTCTCGGGAGATTATTAACCGATCGAACCTCGAAGCAGCTGGCAGCAGCAATAAACGTATTGGAACCAAATTCGTTCTCGTCTTGTTTTTCGCCTTCTTAAAAATTCCCCAGCAGCTAGTCGCCAGTCTCATTTGTTTAATTATTTAAACGTAATTTTTTCCGGGAAAACTCTCCCGGATTCACACGCTTCCTATTGTAATTTTTCAAATACAGTAGAATCCCGATTATCCGAACATCGATTATCCGGACTCATTCATTTTCATTGATAGCGTTCAACAGAAAGATTGTCTTTTATTTTTGTTAACGTTTTGTGTTGGAAATTTTAAATGTCTAAGCGAAAAAGAGTAGTGATGTCTCTTAAAGACAAAATGAAGATATTTTCATAATATATTTTACCTAATAAAAATTATTAAAACTTAAATATTATTTGATTTGCTTTGAAATCGGTTATCCGGATTTTCGATTATACGGAATACCCCTGGTTTTAATTGATCCGGATAATCGGGATTCTACTGTAAAGGTGCAACGTAAGTCTTTTTAATTATATCAAAAAAGTAAACGTTAAGATATATCTAAAAGCCTAAAAGTATTCTTCAATATGTTTGAATAAGAAATTAAATAAGTTTAATTATTAAATAAATGTAAAAATTAAATAAATAAAAAGGTGCTGAGTAACAAAATTCAGTTTATATTAACTTTGTTAATTGGGATTTGTTCCGAAATTATTTGAATATTCTTATGTTGGGTCCACACCTGATGCTGTGATATCAGTGTTGTTAAACCGCTAAGTCCGACCAGATTGATTCCTGCACTACCATTCTAAAGCTTAATACGTTAAATACGTTAAAAGCTAACGATCTTAGAACGGTAATCCGGTTTGACCAGTAGTGCAAGTTGGCTCCCATATTGCATTACAATTGACCGCAATTCACACTACTATAAGCTTACCTGTTAATCACTTAATTTTTAGTACAAAATCACTTTGCTTTTCTAATCTCAATTTTAAAGTGCCAGTGTGTTTTACTTTCTTATCAGTCATGTACAACCCGAGGAGCAAAGACCTTGACCGGGAGTATTTTCCCAGTTACCATTCTACCCGGTTTCAGGATCAACCGGAGCCGAACATCGCCGTTCAGGACCACTTTATAAAGCTCACCCAGCAGCGTAAGCCTGGATCCGCTCGATTACAAAATCCAATTTTAATAATGTTGTTGCAGATGAGAGGGACCTGACCCAGAAGCAGGCCATAAGTGTGGACCACCTACGCTACGGAGAAGGTCGTCGGCTCGTGGATGTCTTCTACAACAAAAGCACCCCCAACCAGGCGCCTCTTTTCGTTTTCATCCACGGTGGCTACTGGCAGATGCTGGACAAGAGCACCTCCTGTTCCGTCGTGGGTCCTTTGGTACGCAGGGGATACCGCGTGGCCGTTATGGACTACAACATCTGCCCCGCCGTCACCCTCCAGACGCTTATGAAGCAGTTTACCGAGTTCCTCAACTGGATTTTTGACTACGCCGAGCTGACAAACGTGCTGGAAATCACCTTTGCCGGTCACTCGGCCGGAGCCCACCTGCTGGCCCAGATCCTTAAGGCGCCCGAAGTGATCACGCCCCAAAGGAGCAAGATGGTGTGGGCATTGGTCTTCCTGTGTGGCGTCTACGATCTGCGGGAGCTCTACAACCTGGAGTCTGTGAATCCCAAGAACATCCTGGGTCTAAGCTCGATCAACGTGGAGGCCGTGTCTCCGATGCTGTGGGAATACAGCGATGTCGCCATCTGGAGCTCTACCAACATCTATGTGGTGGTCGCGGAGCATGACAGTACCACCTTCATCGAACAGAGTCGCCGCTATGCAGAGCACTTGAAGAAAAGCGGGTTCCGCGCCAACTTTAAGAAATTTCCCAAATACGACCACTTCGACATTATTGAAGAGACGGCCGACGACGAATCCGATGTGTCCCGGTTTCTGCAAAACCTCCGAGCTGAATAAACACTACTCAGAGCCCTGCTTTCTGTTATTGTTTCTCACCGTTCTATTTATTGTGTAAAACTAGCTTAGCCTAGTAGTATTCCATATGTACAGTAGCGTATATTTGCGGCTTGTAACCAAAGGGGTACGGACTTGCAATAAATTAGCGTGGCGGTATGTGTACGGATGATTGATTTACCGAAAAAAACCCAAGGACGATTCTAACGTTTGATGCATTTTAAGACCACAATTGGGAAAAAATGTAATAACAAGATAAAAACAATTCATTTTTGAAACTTAATTCTCTGTTCTTTTAAAGTGAGATAATTCTTTATCGCTTATGGAAACATTTTAAACAGCTTAACTTTTTTGTTACAATTTATAGTTCGATTCTCGAAGATATTTAAACTACGTTAAAAGCCGTTCTAATTTCTTAAATTTGTTAGAGATGATATTAATGAAAATATAACCACAAATACTGTCACATTACACACTGAAAGATTGCAAGAAACACTTCTGATCTGACGCGTTTAAGTTTTCTATTAGTGGTTAATTAAATTTGATCAAAAACTAATTATCCGTCCAAAGTATCTTTGTCAGTAAACTATCACCATACAAAATGGGATTATTTGTCGTTTAGGAGAAAATAAAGTTAAACCTTATCAGGAATAAACGGGAAAACTGAATAAATAACTTAACTAGGGTCGCAGACAGGGCTGCGGGTACGACTCATTCTACGATTCCTCGTCCGAAATTATTATCTCGGCGGCAATGACAGGCTTATCAATCGGGATTGGTATGGGCATTGGGATTGGATCTTGCCCGTTGAGGAAGTTGGCGTTCAGACTAGAGACGGACATTATCTTCAGCGTTCCGTTGGGCGGGGCTTCGTCAATCTTGCTGCCAGTCTCGGATCTCGTTATATCTATTAAATCCCCTTCGTCGGTCCCCAGCGCATCTTTCTTTGGTGATGGTTCCGTCTCCGCTTCGGATTCGACGTCACTAACTTCGCCGTTAGCTTTGAAGTTATCCACGAAGTCGTCCACGTCCTCGTCCTCCGAGTCCGACTCCTCCTCAGAGTCCTCTCCGTCGTCTTCTTTAAACATTTTTACACTGGCGGACTGTTTTGCCTCCATCTCCTTTTGCCGAGCTGATGTGCTTTTCATTAGGGCGGCGAGGGCAGCCGCCTTTGCTGCTGCCTGAGCACTTGTACAGGGCTTGTCGTCATCCTCCGTCAACGCAGCCAGCTTGGCGGCCTCCTCGTCTGCTTTTTCCTGCCTCAGCTTTTTCTCCTTCAGACGCGCCTCTTGACGCTCCTCCGCATTGAGATCCTGCTCGCGGGCATACCTAAAATAATGCAAATTGTTAGTACTGAAAGTAGTTTTGAATTCAGCTCTAGTTCTGTTAACTGTCTAATCTCACATTAACTCTATTTTAGAAAGGGGTTTTAAGTCTATAGTACTGGAACTGCAATCTTTAAAGGCAAACCCTATTGAACAGAATAGAGCTGAAATTCTTATTTGGTGCTCACTTTTCTAGGACATCACTTATTTTGGTTTGTTTCTTGTTGTTCTCCTTTAGCTTGGCAAGCAGCTCGGGATCGCTGGCGGCTGGGTCTTTGACATTTGACGTAAAGTGCGTGACGGTTTCGTAGAGATCGGTCTTCCGACGGGACTGCAACATCTTTCCCACTTTGGCAAAGGCATCGTAGGCTGGAGGACACAAATGTGGTGATTAATACCCTTTCAGTCAATTTGAACTTGCTTCTTACCTATTCTCTTCATCTCAAAGCTGGCTAGTCCTAGTTCCTTCTCCTTGTTGCAATGTTCCAGAAGCTGGAGGACATCGTGGTAGTCGGGGAACTCCCTCATCCGGTTGACAAACGCCGATAGGGTCCGGTTGAACTGGGGATAGGCCGTGTCCTTAAACTGAATCGGCTGTTTTAGCTGGCGGCGGGCGCTCTTGCTCTCGCCGGTTAGATCACAGATTTTCTCGTATATTTGGCAGGCTCGCTTCTTGAAACGCTCCACCTGCAGATAGCTGGAGTCATCGTCGTTAAGGTCTACGTCCGCCTCCTCCAACATTTTAATCCGCTTGGTAATTGTGTACAGGGTGCGGTTTAGCTTCCGAATGCGCTCATCCTTTCGTCTGTCGGTGGTGGGGGAAACGGGTTCGGGCTCTTCCTCCTCTTCGTCCTGAATTTCTTCCACTTCTTGGTCTTTTTCTCGTTCCGGATTCTGCTCCCGCTCCATTGATCCCTTCTCCTCCGGCTGAGTCTTCTGAGATGTGGATGGTTTTTGCGGCACGGACTCTCTGGAAGGCTTCTCCCTAGCAACAATTACGGCCTTCCGGCGCGCCTTTAGTTCATCCACGACGTGCTTGAGGTGAAAGTACACCATCTCCGGCTCGTTCCTGATCCGCGTCGTGGCCGCTTCGAGAAACTTGCGAAAGCCCCGGGACACCACGAAGCTCTCATGCACACTGTAGTAGTACTTGGTCAGCTTTCCCTGGGCCAGGCGCTCCATGTCCTCCCCCTTGTCCACCTCGCGACACAACTTGATAAGGGCCGCGTACTCGGCAATAAAAGGGGCCTTTGCTGGAGGCGATGCTTCCTTGGGCTTGGCTATTAGAGTGGGAGTGGAAACTTCCTTTATTCGCTTTTTTGCCGGTCTTTCTTGTACAAAAGCGGATGGCGATTCATGATTGGGCTTCCTAATGGGAATAAATTCTTCTTTCCTTCGCTTTTCTGGCGGACTCTCTGGAATAGCATCTAAATCCACAATTTCCGTAACATCGGTGATTGGTGCTTTTGCCAGAGGAGTTTTCGTTGCAGGTGTTCTCACTTTACTGGGTTGTTTATCTACTTTTATCGACTGGGTTTTTTGCACAGCACTCGTCCTAGGCTCCGTCTCCTGTTTCTCTGTTGGCGGGGTTGTGGGCGGAGACTCCACAAGCACAATTGTGGGCACTGAGGTGGACTGCAATTGCTCGCGCTGCTTTTGCTGTTGCTGCTGCTGCTCGAGCATATGCCTTTGCCATTCGTCGTCGGATTTTTTGAGCACCGTGATGGGCTGGATGCGCTTGGCGCCACTAGCCGCAGGTTTTGTCACCGGAGAAATGCTCGCCCCGGGCAGGGAGTTCAACTTGAAGGCCGCCGCCTTGGCTATATGCTGTTGCTGCACTGCAGCCGGAATTCCAGCGGGCGGCGGCGTTGTCGTGGGCGTCAGTTGGGGCGTGATGCTGGTGGTGGGCGGCAGGTTCAGCAGCAGGGGCTCGTTTAAAGCGGCCGCACAGTGCGGTGGAGTGGCCAGCAGTCGCTGAGGAGGCGTTGCACTCGTTGTGAATCCCTGAAGATGAGTCGATGTCATTAAAGGCGGGGCCGACTTGTGCTGAGTGCTTCTAAAAGGCAGAGTGCGGGCCGCACTCATGACTGGGGTTGCGGCGCTGACTCCTCCAGGCATCTGTGGCTTCAAAGGGAAGCTGGCTCTGCTGTTTGGAGGCACAGGCGTGATCTTAGCCACCGTTGCGGGTCGCACTATCGGTGGACGGTGTGCGAAGGGAGGACTTATCATCGGCGCGTGTGTGGGTGATGGCTTCTGCACTATATGAGCGGGTGGTGGCGTCTGCTGGGGCAGTATCTGCTTTGGAGGAACCTTCGTCGACGTCGGGGACTTCTGCAACATAGGTAGTTTCTGTATCGTCATCGATTTGTGTGTGATTTCGTTGACGACGGGCAGAGAAGGTCTCGGAATGAATTGAGGCTGCTGGATTGGGCTCTGTGCGGCCATCACCGAATTAAGTAGCTGCTGAGCCATCTGCGATTTCGGTGACTGCTTTTGGACCACCGCCGCTGGGTTTGGCTGGAGTGGCTGCTGGCGCAGCAAACCTATCGTTGCATTCGGAAACTGGGTTTGACTTAGAAGAGGTTTCGGTTGCTGTTCAATTTGTCCCACGATCGTCTTCTGAGGCACTGGTTGCTGTTGGAATTGGCTTGTAACGACTTTCTGTTGCTGCTGAAGCTGTCCTGCAGGCGCTCTTTTCGATTGCTGCTGCTGCTGTTGCAGCTGTCCCAGCAAGAATCTTTGCTGTTGCTGCTGCAGGAGCTGTTGTTGGACTTGCTGCTGGCCGACTAGAGCCTTTGGTTGCTGCTGCCCGACGATAGCCTTTGCTTGCTGCTGCCCGATGAAAGTCTTTGGTTGCTGCTTGAATTGTTGTCCGACCGGCGCTTTCTGTTTAACAGACTGCTGTAGCGGTCCCGCCAGCGGTTTTTGCTGCTGTTGCAGTTGGGTGCCTAGTGGCTTCTGTTGCTGTTGCAGTTGGGGGCCCAGCAGCCTCTGTGGTTGCAGCTGAGGGCCTGTCGGTCTCTGTTGTTGCTGCTGGGGGCCCGGCGGACTCTGTTGTTGCTGCTGAGGGCCCGGCGGTCTCTGTTGTTGCTGCTGGGGGCCCGGCGGTCTCTGTTGTTGCTGCTGGGGGCCCGGCGGTCTTTGTTGTTGTTGCTGGGGGCCCGGCGGTCTGTGTTGTTGCTGCTGGAGACCCTGCGGTCTCTGCAGTGAGCCCAGAGAATACCTCTGTTGCGGCTGTCCCGCAACAACCTTCTGTTGGATCTGTACAGCCGGTGCTTTCTGTGGCTGCTGTTGTAGCAAGTTTTGGCCCATTAAAGGTTTTGGCTTGGCCAAACTAAGCGTAATTGGCTTGTGCTGCTGCGACTGAGTTGGCTGCTGAGGCTGACACATCCCGATCGGCAACTGAATCTTCGCAGGAATGGTTTTCGGAGCTACTCCCATCGGTGGCTGGACGACTTTGGCCCCGGTTGCTAGTCGAATTTGGTTGCCGGGCGTCACCCGCACCTGGTGACTGGGCACCGCGGTTATCAGGGCATTCGGACTGGGCGCCTTGCTGCTCACCGACCAGGCCACTTTCTGGGCGGCCCCGATCTTGACCTGTTTCGCGTTCACATTGTTGAAGCTGTTGGTGTTGATGTTATTGTTGTTGCTCTCAGCAAGGGAAATCGTCAGGTTTCCATTTGTGGTCAGGACGTTCTTCTGGTGCTTGGTGACTGTGATGCCACTGGGTATGTGCATGGACCGAAGGGGATCGGCCGGGAGCGATGGTGCCACTGCAGGTCCTGCTCCTAAGCCTGGTGCTCCTATCACGGATCCTAGGGAGGCCTTTGGTATGTTCACAAGTTTGGGTGGGAAACTTTGTTTTCCGGTTGGCGGCAACAGTCGCAGGGAATCCTCCAGTCGTCGTTTTTTGGCTCCTGGTGGCGACTGTGGAAACAATTTATACTTTTATTCAGTGGTTGAATTTTTTTATAGTTTTTTAATATTGTATAGAAAGGCCGTGCAATTAGTTTTTCCGAAAAGATCTGATTTTAATGTTATTTGGCAACACTCTAAAAAAAAACTAATTTGGTTAAAATATCACAGAACAGCTTATTAATATTTTTAGTTTCGTAAACACATAAATATTAAGAAGGATCTGGATAGTTTCTTAAAAAAAATCAACCAATTCATATGTAACGAATTACAAGATGATTTAAAAAAATGTAATGTACTCCTTTACTAAAAAAAACCTTACAGGCCGAAGGCTATAGTTTTTACTTTACTCTTCTTATTTGATCCCCAAACTGCAGGCGACCTGTTGGTTCTCCGATGCATTTTAAATTTGAATGAAAACATCAACAAACAAAACCGCAACCGCCCGACGTGTACATGTGTGTGTACGAGCACTGTGGAGAGTAAAAAGCGCGCGCTTTGGAGAGATTTTTGATTTCGCCTCGTATCAGCAGGCAATTTGAGTCGCTTTTTACCTGACAAATTGCGTCTTAAACACAATCTCTCCAGTTAAAAATCACACAGCGCCGTCGCTCGCACACATATACAAACAGCTCTCTCACTTTTCCACGCCTAACGTAATTAAAGGCCAATATTCGCCACTGCAATTGCAAGAGTCGCCAAGTCTCCACTCTATCGGTCTGGCAGCACTTCGCCACTTTTGCATCTGTGTGAGTGGCCCTGCATGTTCGTGTCTGCTCGCTCTCAATAAAAGCAGCGCGAAAAAATTAATTCCACACTATGTGAAGCACGCACACACACTCAGCTAGCGAGCCTATTTAAATCCAACTGTACTTTTTCATTACACACAGGGGCCGGGTTCGCGGGGAACTCGAAAAATTACCTCTTCATCGGACTCCGAGCTCAAATCCACGCATATCACCGAGCCCGACATTATTCGCCCGAAAACAGAGCGCTACGAATATATTCACTCTACTCGCAGCGCCTCGATTCGCTGGATTTCTTCGTACTCGGACTCGCTCCCGTTGTTGCCAGCTAGTTTTTTACGCATATGTGCACGGCGCGTCTGTGTTTGCTTCGCGTTCTCAATATCAATACTATATGTGGGATGTCTCCCACATATTTATACGCTAGACTACTAAGTGCACTGGCTGTGTTTGTTTGTGTTGTTGCCTCGTAGTTGTCAGTTTGGAGACTTCTGGAGCTGTCAAAACATCGATTGCACAGCCGATATTATCGCTAGCGATGACACCAGCTTGAACCAGCGAATACACCCTTTTTTCCTAGTAAAGACATCACTCGTCCTACGGTAGAGAGGATATCCACCAGTAGCGGTAGATACGATTGCACCGATTAATAAATCGATACATTTTTCCATCCCAATTTTGTTTTCCGCCGATCTACACTAATACAAAAATATTTGTATACTCTGATTTAATAATGGACACCAAACCTAGTTTTCGAATAACTTTTTATTTCTTTCACCCATTTAATAAATTAATTAAATACAAAACATAAAACTCGGAATACCCTCTCTACTATATCTTGACATCTATCAAGCCGAATTAACAAGTTATTATTATTATTTATTATTAAGTTCAGCCTCATTTTTGGTTTTTTTAATAACAAAGTTTTTCGACTCCAATATTCGTTCCTTAAAGTATTGATTGCTATTCTTTGCCATGTGAAAATTTGCAAAAATTTTGTATAACAACCGTCGGTGAAGTATATGCATAAATAAGTGTGCTCTAAGCAACAACGCAAGGTTTTAATTTAGTGTCTAACATTTTATACGAGCCTTGAAAAAATCCGTTGGGCTTCCATAAAGTCTAATAAAGTTCGCTCGTTAATTTTATTATATTCTAAGCATAATGGGAATCAATGCTTAGAAAATGGATATATGTATGTATGTAATAGATTTTCGGGTATTTACCCAATGTCCAGAAACCGGAGGAGCCCCAGGGTGATGCAGGTTAAGCAACGTAGGGTAGTCTGGTTTATTACGTTTTCCAAACTAATTCTTCATCACCGCTTAGATGGAAATTTTACGCTCTTAACCTTTCTTTCTCTCTCTTATGTATTTAAAAACGAAAATATACAAAAGGAAGCTAGCTTCGGCGAGTCAGTTAGCCCATACAATACCTTGGCTCATCACAAATCTAAAAAACTATTTTTTTTTGTTCGATCCTTACAACGTCAGCAATACTTTTAAGTACATACTTTTTAAAATATGTCGAATTTTCCATTAATTTTCCATTTTTGTATGGTTTAGTAGTCCGATCTTTTTTTATCGTATAAAATTATTATACATAAAGCTCAATTCATGAATATTTAACAAAATTTAAGTTAAAACAGCAACTATACATTAATAGTCGTCAGATTTTAATAAAATGTATTTCGTATTTCAAGAGAGTTGTTTGTGTGTTGAGTGTTGCTATGTCAGCTTAGTATATGACATCGAACAAGTTCTATATACTAGTTGCAATAGATTTGAAAAAGACTATTGGTAAAGATTCAGAGAGAATTAGACAGTAAACTACGGAGGCATATTTTGTATAAATCTGTATTCTCTTATAAAAATAAACGGAAGAGCAGTATAGATTGAACGAATGCCAATATCATGATTTTACATTTTCCAAAAAAGGTATTTAAAAAAGTTTTCGAACGTAACTTTTTCACAGTTTAAAATATTTTAAATTTAAGGGTGACCGTTTGCCCGTCAGCTGCTGCTTCATCCCTGACAGGCTGATCTGACGTTTCGGCCGCGGTCATACTACGGTGACACGTCGACTTCGTCTGCCCGTTCGTTTAGCTTATACGTTCATTCGGTTTTTGAAATTTGAAGCGTTCGCTGCGCAGTCGATAGTGAAACTTTCTAGTTTTTGTGTAGAAAGTGCAATAACCAAGATCCCACTCAGTGCCCAAGCGAGCGCTAAAACAAGACCAGCAAAATGGGAAGTAAGTAAATCGCTAGCGGGCCGAGAATCCCGGGAGTAAAGCGGTTGTGCGTGAAAGTGCCGCCCCTGCGATGCCGCTTGCACCCCGGTCGCCCATTGCTTACGTATACAAAAAAGACTCGGCGTGCTTCGCTGACTGTGCCCGAAAAACTGCAGTTAAATGAAAAGTCCAATAACGCGTCTAATGCAATGCTCTTCATTCACTATTTGCAGTCAAGTTCCTGGAAGTTATCAAACCCTTCTGCAGTATACTGCCGGAAATCGCAAAACCCGAGCGCAAGGTGTGTATAAATTTGAAGTTAAATTTTAAGGCAATGTGTGCGGAGTTTTTCCACCTGTATAGTCATTTGTAAAGTTTGATTTTGACAGATAATTAGCGGCTTTTCTCTGTTTTACGTGTGTTTTTTCGGAGGCAATCTCCCCCTACTCTGACCAGTGTTGCCAGCGCACGCGTTTTATGGTTGCTTTCACTTGTCAAAAAGTGAACATCGCCACGCAAACAGTTTGCTCTTCGTTTCGTAGGAGGCCAAGCAACAATAAAACCACCCCAAGATTAACTAAACTGAACCTGATTTGTGATGATACGTCTTTAAGTAATCAGAATTCCTGTTGTTTTACATATTTTGATGTAATGATGTAATATTTTAAAGAAAACTTATAATTTTGACCGTACTTTATGTACTTGTCAATCCGAGATTCATGGCAAGTTATATTTTTTGATGTTTTGAAGAGTTTCTTGGACACTTTCATTCATGAATCTTCCAATATCCACATCATTGCTTCTACTACCTTTCTTATCACCTGGCTACTTGTTGCCATACTCCTATTTAACACACACACTACTCTCCCACACAGCGGCAAACCAATGCTACGTGGAAATGTCAAACTTCGGCTCATCCGAAGTGCAAACCCGACGTTGTCGACGTCAGCTTCGTTTGTTTTTGTTGCTCTACACGATGAGTAGTTAACTTGATTTTGTTTAAACAATTCACACACGTACACTCACTGGGAAGCGGGCATCTGGGTCAACATAGCGGTAGTTTAGTTTGCCAAGCTTGCTTTCAAGGGTAAACAGAATTTAGACTAAAACAGAACTTTTGAGAAGCTTAAATTAAATGTCAGCTGTGTTTTTAAATATTTTTATCCAAACATTAGTCAAATTTAAATCTAACAATTTTTAATATCAAGCGGAAAACTGAATTGTTAACTTTTTTTAATTCAGATCCAATTCAGGGAGAAAGTGCTATGGACTGCGATCACCCTGTTTATCTTCCTGGTGTGCTGCCAGATCCCGCTCTTTGGCATCATGAGCTCGGACTCGGCGGATCCCTTCTACTGGATCCGTGTGATCCTGGCCTCCAACCGAGGTACCCTCATGGAGCTGGGTATCTCGCCCATCGTTACCTCGGGTTTGATCATGCAGCTGCTGGCCGGAGCGAAGATCATTGAGGTCGGCGACACGCCCAAGGACCGTGCTCTGTTCAACGGCGCCCAGAAGCTCTTCGGCATGGTGATCACCATCGGCCAGGCCATCGTCTATGTGATGACTGGCATGTACGGCGATCCGTCGGAGATTGGAGCCGGTGTCTGCCTGCTGATCATCATCCAGTTGTTCGCCGCTGGTCTGATTGTGCTGCTGCTGGACGAGCTTCTGCAGAAGGGCTACGGATTGGGATCCGGTATTTCCCTGTTTATTGCCACCAACATTTGCGAAACGATCGTGTGGAAGGCGTTCAGCCCCACCACCGTGACAACGGGACGCGGAACGGAGTTCGAGGGCGCTGTGATTGCCCTATTCCACCTGATGGCCACCCGTAACGATAAGGTGCGCGCCCTGCGCGAGGCTTTCTACCGCCAGAACCTGCCCAACCTGATGAACCTGCTCGCCACCGTGCTGGTGTTCGCTGTGGTCATATACTTCCAAGGCTTCCGCGTGGACCTTCCCATCAAGAGTGCTCGCTACCGTGGCCAGTACAGCAGCTACCCCATCAAGCTGTTCTACACCTCCAACATTCCCATCATCCTGCAGTCCGCGCTCGTGTCCAACTTGTACGTCATCTCTCAGATGCTGGCCGTTAAGTTCCAGGGCAACTTCTTCATCAACCTTCTGGGTGTGTGGGCTGATGTTGGAGGCGGCGGCCCGGCTCGCTCCTACCCCATTGGAGGTCTGTGCTACTACCTTTCGCCTCCCGAGAGCGTGGGTCACATCCTCACCGACCCTATCCACGCCTTGCTCTACATCGTCTTCATGTTGGGCTCCTGCGCCTTCTTCTCCAAGACCTGGATCGATGTGTCCGGCAGCTCAGCTAAGGATGTAAGTATCTCGCAAACTAGACTTTCAATAGTAACTTTTAACGAGTTTAATTTGCCCTATCGAGTGTTAATCTAAAACTACCTGAGACTTACCAACTGCATCTTTATCTTCTCTTCACAGGTTGCCAAGCAGCTGAAGGAACAGCACATGGTGATGCGTGGCCATCGCGAGAACTCCATGATCCATGAGTTGAACCGCTACATTCCGACGGCGGCAGCTTTCGGCGGTCTCTGCATCGGAGCCCTGTCTGTGATGGCCGACTTCCTGGGCGCCATCGGCTCCGGCACGGGTATCCTGCTGGCGGTGACCATCATCTACCAGTACTTTGAGATTTTCGTTAAGGAGCAGTCCGAGATGGGAGGCATGGGCACGCTGCTGTTCTAAGCAGCCAAGGACATCACCCGCGATCCAAACAATAATAACTAATACTTCATCATACTTCCCACACGCTCGCTCCCATTAAAAACAACCTAAATTACGTGCTCTGTTTTTTTCGTACTCTGTCCAAATACCCACAAAAGCGTAATTTGTAAGGCTTTTGGCTGCTATTTTCATCTTCCCTACCAACAGAAGCGTATATTAAGGGGCATGAGAGAACCTTTATTTTGAATAGTTTTTAGTTGTATTCAAATGTGAGACTACATTGCTTAAGTTCAATATTTCTGCGAATTGATTGAATTTCAATGCAATTACTTGTTTTAATATTAAATCAATTGAATTATACTTTAAAGTCGATCGTGAATGGAGACATTGAAATTATAAAAGCGAAGATGTACATCAAACGAACACATGCATACAAATTGTCATAATAAAACGTAAATTAGATAACTTTTTTAAATGAATTGATGGTTTCAACTTCTACTTTTGATATAAAAAGTGTGGTAAAAATTATTTCTGGGTAAGTTGAAGTGATATTTCGATTTGAGATATCGTGATTTAAACTAGTTTTTATGCGCTTTAGTGTTAGGGCCGAAAAAATTTAAAGGTTTTGATCTGATCATTTAATTTGATCCCAGCTTAGGAGATAGCGCCAAGGCTTAAGTCCGATAATGTCAGTTGCCCAGCCTATCGAATCGTCAGTGTGACCGAGTCCACCCTAATCAAAGGTATTTTTCCTGGAGCGGTGACTGGTCATGCTGGGGCAACAAAATGAGAAATAGTGAAGCAAAATCGTAAATATAAGCAAATGAGACACCTTGCCGACCTTCGAACGTGTTGAGTTGCAAGGACCACAAGCACCGAAGCGCATTTAACCCGCCCGGACAAACTCCGCCGACCAGGAGCTTCGAGGAGCCGCAGAAAACCCGTGCAAACTCCAGGAGTAGCGATCGGTGCCATGTCAGCTCCCCTGGCCAGAAACTGGCCTTACATTTGGCAACAACTAAATGCCCTGCTGCACAACACCTCGCCGGTGATCACCCTGATCTGCGTGGTGACCACCTTCGGCTACCTGCTCTCCTTCTCGGAGACCGCCATCCTGCTGCTAAGCGTTACGCCCGGCTACATCCTCCCCAACGGCAAATTTTGGATATGGACCGCCTTCACGTTCTGCTTCATCGAACTCCACTGGTGGGAGGTGGCCGTCGACGTGGTCACTGTGGGTCTCTGCGGCAAGATGCTGGAGCCACTGTGGGGCCAGCTGGAGATGTTTAAGTTTTTCGCGTTGAGCAACTTCGGAGTCTCGTTGCTGACCACTGTTTACTACCTGTTCTACTACATGGTCACCAAGAATCCGACAATCCTTTTCGACGTCCACATCCACGGCCTGGCCGGCTACGTGGCCGGCATCTGCGTGGCCGTGCGCCAGATAATGCCCGACCACCTGATCTTCAAAACGCGCTACGGACGTTTAACCAATAGGTAAGCAGGTGGTTAAACCACAGAAAAGAAAGTCGCTTGGGGGCAAAGAAGCATCTTGAGTTTATAAATAACGTAAAATTAAAATCCCCGTGAGTTTGTCAAAACTAAACCTTAATACCGGAAAGGAACACAATTGTTTATAAAAATATTTATACCATAGGAAATTAACATAAAAGTCGTATATTTCATTGGCCCAAACAGCTTATTTAAGAGACATCGGTAGCTATGCTTCAAAAGTAAATCAAACCTATTTAAATGCAAATAAAAGTAATTTTACTTAGCAGGTTCAAGCAGAGTTATATTGTTGTCAAGATTATATTAATCTTAACAAGTTTAGCTTCTAATGTAAACCAAACTGAATACTTCTAAGCATTGTTTATCAGCACTTTTTCGGATTTGACTTTATTGCCTCGATATCAGTTCAACATGACATTTTTTTTTGAGTCTTTATGACCTTATGTTTTAAATATTGTTTAATATGGGCATAAAAGATTTACTGACTCATAAGTTCATAAACGGTTTTATGGTGAGGATGAACAAATAAAACGTATAAGCTAACCTCAATCAAGCACTGACCTGATCACCTATGGATCACTTTTATTAAATAAATATCTTTTACAAAAGAGTTAAAAAAAAAAGAGAGCTAAAGGCGACAAGACTGTGAAATTATAAAATTTGTATTAATTCCTTTTAATTTTTTAGGAATGTTCCGCTTACCGTGCTAATTATGGCTATTATCTTTTGGGCTATTGGAATGCTGGATGGCACATACCCGGCCATGTTTGCTTCCGGATCTCTGGTCTCTTGGATATATCTACGCTTCTACCAACACCATCCGAATGGGCGTGGCGACAGCTCGGAGAGTTTCACGTTTGTCAGCTTCTTCCCGAACGTATCGCAGCCGTTTATCAGCGTGTTGGTTAATCCCATTTACAACTGCTGCTTGCGGGCGGGCGTGGTCAAGACTCCCACGCCACTACGGACGATATCTACCGCCAGCCTGACGTCGATATCGGTGCAAATGCCGGGCGTGGATCCGCACGACATTGAGCGAAGGCGGTGAGTAAAGAGTGTAGCTAAATGATGTTTTTATCAGCAATTTTCCGGATTTGACTTTATTACCTCCATATCAGTTTAAGTGCCTAACTTTAGGGGTGTTTAAAGAATAATTATTTAATCAAAACGACTAACTAATTGTTTATAAGATAAGAATATTGGTAAACAATGATTTTGGGCTTTATAAATTATTAATGATTAATTATTAATATTAATTTTTATCAATTTTTTTTTTTTGCTTTCAGTCAAATTGCCTTAAAGGCGCTCAGCGAGCGCTTGAAGGCCACGGACTCCACTCGTCACGCGCAGCTGCCGAAGTCGTTTCCGCAGCAGCAACAACTGCAGCAGCATCATCACCAGCATCTGTCGCATCAGCAGCAAAAGCATCACAGCCACGGAGGCGGGCACAGTCACAGCCATGGAGCGGGCCACAGTCATGGGGCGGGACATGGCCACAGTCACGGTCCTGGTCCCGCTCAGACGCCGCAGCCCGACTTCCTGAAGCCCACCGGCAGCTCCAGCCAGCTGCCTATCACAACTTCGCGGGCAGAGCCGCGCATGATCAGCACAATGAGTCCGATCGCAATACCCATGCCGGCTCCACCGCCCAAGGAGGGAAATGCTCCGGGTCAGGGAGCTGAGTCCTCAGCCGGAGGCGGAGCTACACTTATCAACCTGGACGACGTACCATCCTCGTCATCGACGGCTTAGACAGTGGTTCTATGCGAACATTCATGAATTTTTGATATTTAAACGAATGATCTAATGATTTACGCCCATGTTTTGTATGATCCTGCATTAAGTACGTACCCGCCCCATCCGTGTTCCCCTTTTGTAATTACCGTTTGTGTGTTTCGTAGTGTCCTGTAGATTTACGCTTGCTTGCTGCGCACAACGCAGGCCGTGCTCCAAGGAACAGTGAAGTAATATCGAGAAAGCAAAAAGAAATACCTTCCAGGCGAAATGAGAAAAACTAGAGCCTTTAAATAGATGCATACTTTCTGTTGTAGTCTTTACATGTAATTGAAAATGATGCTTTATTTAGTTAATAACTGTAAATATATTTAAAAAGTCAGAAATTATATGTTTGACTTGAATTGGTTTTTAACGTATGTATTAGTTCTGTAAAAAGCGGTGTAGGCGGTCAATGCAGAGAAAGCTGGACATATCATTTTCGAAAAGGAGCTATTCATTTTAATATACCCTTGCATGTTTCATACAAGACATAATTATTAATTTATTTAAACACAGATTATTAATATTGGTTATGATAGTAACGCCTTTTTAAAGATAACTTAATAAGCAAAATAAGCTTAATACTCTTTTAATTTTACTGGCAATTAAATGTATTTAGTATATTTATTTATGTTTTTTAAACTTAACTAAGCCACGGCCACACTGTCTGTCAGCTGGCGCAACCGTTTGTAATCGATATCGATTCTCCGCCCAATTCTTGGGGCCATAAAAAACCGTGGTCGTGTTCGGATTGTACGTTTTTGGTTTGTTTAAATACAAGTCAGCCCAACTGGATGTGAAATAAAAAAGGTTGGGGCCAGGATAATGCCTTAGCATAATCGGATCATTGTGAAAAAGGCGCAGCCACAGCAAAAACAATTCGTACTGAGTGGAGCCATACAGGGTGTTACTTGCAATATGGGTCGCAACAACTTTAATTTGCAGCACCAGCAAACCAATGTGAGGCGCCATCGGAATGGTTAGTAAGAAAAAAACCCCACTCAAAACACTGATAGTGATAAAAACTGGGAGCCAAGAACTGTGATAAGAGTAAAAAGGCGGAAAGGCCATGGAAGCACACAAACATACTGCCGCGAGTGTATGTAAACAATATATTTGCTATCGCTGTTTCGTTCCGTTTTTTGAGGGCTTATGTGTGTGTGGGAGTGTTTTGGTAGCTGCAGCTTTTGCTGTTTTCATGCCTACGAGTGTGTAGCTGCGTGGCAAAAACAACATGAATGGATACTCTATCCGACGGTGGGTTACCCTACTTGTTGCTCCCCTCTAAGAAAGTGTGCATACCACTTAAAGAGACAAAATTAACATTGTATATACATTGATATTTTGGGTGTTTTTTTCACATTTGAAAAATTTGTTTATCAAGAATGTAAGGATAAAGTTTTAATAAAAGTCTTAATTAGTCGCAATATTTTAATAAAGGTCAGTTGATGTCACGTGCACGATATACCCATTTATTGTACGACTAATGGGCGTAAAACCAAACTAACCGGCCCAACACGGCGCTTATATATTTGCCTTTGTTTTGCCATATTTTCGTCAGTTCTTGCCTTGCTTAAATGCCATAACCTTTCCAACAACTCGAGATAACCCACTTAACTAGTTTGTAAGCCGACAGGGTAACTTGTTAGTCAGGAACTGGACCACATAGTAGGTGCCGCCCTTAAATGTTTCCTTGTGGTTGCCGTTTCTTGGACTCCGGGGAGCACCTCTTACTTTCACAAAAACTAAAGCCCGTGTTCAGGGCCGTTTGGTTTCGAATTCGATTTCGGTTTCTGATTTTCCGCTTTGCATTTGCAACACCCGCTTGGCAAATTTGCCCCGTAGCAGAAATGCGATTGGGATTGCTGCAGCCCAGTAGCCATATCGCCCAAAACAAAGACGTGTAATCAAGCGAGAAATGCGCATGATCGACTATTTGATACTTCTTTAGATAAATGTTTCTGGCTTGTTTAAGATCTCAAGAACAATTTTGTTTTTATATGATGGCATTGCCATTGTCCATTTTATTTACTTAACTATAAGCCTATATAAAGTCCTTTTGAACGCGTTAATTCTTGTTTTTAAGTGGTAATAAAAAGAATCATTTTATATTTTGATTCTGTTTAAGTAATATAAGACTGGAAGCAATTTGAACAAGAAATTGGAAATCAGCTTTGCCAGCTCGGTAAATACGAATTGGTACTAACCATAAAAGAGTTTTTAAAATTTCAACACTTAAATATGTACAAGCAAAGATAAGCAATATAAACAAAATTTGTATTTCACGTATTGCCCATATCTACGTTTCTCATAAAAGCTTCATACACAAAATATTTATACATACATATATAAACCTATGCGATCACAACATTAAAACAATTGCTGGGGATTGGCGAGCTTATCCTTCAATAGCTCAGAAGAGCTTATTTAAGATCTCTACCCGCATTGCCAGCTCTTACAGGGTATTCCCAAACAACTGGCATGACCATGTTAATATGTGGCTGCAAATACGTTAAGAGACACACTCGCGCACTCCGTCAGTCGCTCCCAAATACCAATATAACCTGCACACGAGCAACTGCCATTCAGATATTCAGACGCTTTCCGACGTATTCAGTGGCACAGACAGAGACAGATGGAGGCGAAGGCGGCGACAGCTCCACTTCGAGCAAGAAAAACCACTGAGGGCGTTCGCTTGGCGCTCAGTTGCGCATTGGATACCACGTATAACGGTTCGCAATAAAGTCCGGACAACCTGAACTCCACTGTCTTTCTATCGCACTCGCGAACTAATCAGTCGGTGGAAAAAAAGTAAATACACACCTTCTTGAGGGCTTGTTCCATTGGATTAATTAACGATAAATAGCAGTTATTTAGAATTATCTAAATGCTTTATTTGCTTAATTAGTTTAAACCGTTCTCTTAAAGTTAAAGCTGCAAAATTAACAAATATTGGGGAGCATTCATTGATCCTACGAAACCACTACTGTAATTCCGTTTGGTCTTCAGTTTAAAAGTGGATAGGATAAAAAACCTTTTAAAACCAACTTATCATCATCTGTTAATAAGGTCAAAATCTATCACTTTGTGGCTCATATTTTGTCTTTCTATTTATGCAGCTGGCGGTGCCACAGCAAAATCACCAAACGCAGCCAAACACTCGCCAACAATGACGGACTACCTGTCGCTGCACTCGCGACTTGCCCAGGTGGGCCAGGAGCACCTGTTGAAGTTCTGGCCAGAGCTCTCAAATGACGAACGCGCCGAACTGGTACGGGACATCGAGGAGCTGAATCTGGACGAGATCAAGCAGTATTTCGACAAGGCCACGGTCTCAATGAACGAAAACGGCATCAAGCTGGACGATCGCCTGCAGCCGCTGCCAGAGGGCAAGCTGATCTCCATCGCAAGGACGCCGGAGGAGACGTTGGCCAACTACCGGGACGAGGGTCTCCGGCAGATCAGCAACGGACACGTCGCTGTGCTGCTTATGGCGGGCGGACAAGGTAAGCTATCATTCCTTTATCCTAACGCTTAGATAACAGGTAAATAAGGTGAACGTAAACGGGGAGAACACACTTGTGTTTAATTAGAACAACATATTAGTCAAAGGTGTTTTCAGTTGGCATTTAGCTTAAAAGCTGGATTAAATATTGTGGGTAGAGCTATTAGTTGGTGATATAAAAATTTGCCCAGCTATCTTTGAGATAATCAGGTGTTTGACTCTTCAAATATTGATAACAAAATGATTAGCTTACTAGGAAATTAATCATTGCTTACCAGAACTTGGGGAAATTCTGTTTTTTGTTTAAATTGTTTGTGTATTATATATAATTATTTTAGCTAGAAACCATATATGTACAATAATATAACAACTAATTTATTTGTTTATTCTTGTTTATTATATTTGTGTGTAGATTACACCTTAATATTTTTGATACGTTACAAGGTATTTTTGTGTACAGTACATAAAAATTCATATCTGTTTTGAATATTATTTTCTTTGATAAAATTATGGCGAGATATTTTTATCATTCCGCAACCAGCCATCCACCGAATTTCTGCACTGTAAAATGAACAAAAGCAGAAACTTCAACATTAGCAGTCCCACAACTGCTCGCTGCTTCAGTGTGAGTGGTTTATAAAAGCTAATTAACTTGATATAAAAGTGCTCCATCGAGCTCACAAACACACGCAGCCCCAATCAGCTGCCCACTCATGCAGCTGCATTGGAATTGTAATTGTAATTCCGTTTGCAAGACAAAAAATCAAATGAAAATACAAAACCCGCCAAGCCAGCAATTTTAACTCATTCTTATGGCCAGGCATGCCTTTCTTTTTTTATTATTGCTCGGGCCAGTGCTCTTTTGAGTCGGAATATTAATGTTGTAGGCGGCATTTGACATTTCCCTACCCGCGCCCCCAGCAACAGTTGGAGTCCAATCACGTAATTGCCTTTTAGAAAAGCAGGCGAACGAAGTTTTATGAAGTTGGGGCAGGGCAATGAAACCTGCTCACTTGTGCTATTGTTTCTAGCACGTCCAATTTCAAAAAGTGTTACAAACGTAAGATCCAGAATATAGATACCTATTCCATTCCCGAGCATTTTCGGGCAGGCGTAGAAGTTCCGTTTGCTAGACCGATAAGCAATATATTGAATATAGTCGATAATTAAAAACCGGTAGTGGAACTGACCTTAAGCAAGCCGCTTTTAAATCTTTAAATGGTGCAGACAAAAGACAATATAAAAAGCGAAACGATGGTCGAAAACTTGTTTTTAAGGCCAACTTGGTTCGAAATAAATATGCTGAAGTTCTTGTTGTGAGCTAGTGATTAATCGATTCAGGGATGCTTGAATGGTTTTTACAATGCCTTATTCACGCAATGTATCACGTATGCATTTATTTAAGCCAAAAATTAAAGTTAAAGCAATGAACGAAGTATACTTTTATCCCATCCCTAAACCCAATTTGGTTTCTCAGTAAAGTGGAGGAATACGAGATCAACTAACCTAAAATTTCGAATCCGATTTTATTAAAAAAAGGAATGTAAGAGAATTTCTTAGAAATAAAGTGCCGATAAGATTCAACAATTTTTTATATATATATATTTTTTTTTGAGTTCACAACTAACGTTTTCATCTTCTTTGCAGGCACACGACTTGGCTTCGACCATCCCAAGGGAATGTACGACGTGGGACTGCAGTCCCGAAAGACCCTGTTCCGGATTCAGGCCGAGCGGATCCTGAAGCTGGAGGAGCTCGCCCAGGAGGCGAATGGCAAACGTGGGCACATCACCTGGTACATTATGACGTCGGAGCACACGGTGCAACCCACTTACGACTACTTTGTGGCCAACAACTTTTTCGGCTTGAAGGCGGAGAACGTGCTGCTGTTCGAGCAGGGATCGCTGCCGTGCTTCGAATACGATGGACGCATCATTCTGGACGAGAAGCACCGGGTGGCACGAGCACCGGACGGCAACGGAGGCATCTATCGGGCGATGAAGCGCCAGGGAATACTGGACGACATGCAGAAGCGGGGTGTACTATACCTGCACGCCCACAGCGTTGACAACATCCTGATCAAGGTGGCTGACCCCGTCTTTATCGGCTACTGCGTGCAGGAGAAGGCCGAGTGCGCCGCCAAGGTGGTCGAGAAGGCAGCTCCCAACGAGGCGGTGGGCGTCGTGGCCATCGTGGATGGCAAGTACCAGGTGGTGGAGTACAGCGAGATCTCAGCCAAGACGGCAGAGATGCGCAACTCCGACGGCAGGCTGACCTTCAGTGCTGGAAACATCTGCAACCACTTCTTCAGCTCGAACTTCCTGCAGAAGATCGGCAGCACATTTGAGCAGGAGCTGAAGCTTCACGTGGCCAAGAAGAAGATTCCCTTCGTGGACAACGCCGGCAAGCGGCTGACCCCCCGACAAGCCGAACGGCATCAAGATTGAGAAGTTTGTTTTCGACGTGTTTGAGTTCGCACAGAAGTTCGTGGCGATGGAGGTGCCACGCGACGAGGAGTTCAGCGCCCTGAAGAACTCCGATGTGGCTGGCAAGGACTGCCCCAGCACTGCCCGATCGGACCTCCATCGGCTCCACAAGAAGTATATAGAAAGCGCCGGCGGCATCGTGCATGGCGACGTCTGCGAGATCTCGCCGTTCGTCACCTACGCCGGGGAGAATCTCGTCTCGCAGGTTGAGGGCAAGTCGTTCACCAGCCCCGTTTACCTCCGGGACACCCGCGATCCCTTACACGGACACCTCTAATCAGGAGGCAGCATCGACGCATAGACTGATGGACGGATGTAGTTGTTTCGGTTACTTGTAAATTTTTCGTTTAGCGTTGTTGAACGTTATTATTCCCAAACTATAGATAGTGCACGGAAATTCCATTGATTTCAGTACTTAAAGGAGACTTGTAAAAATTTGTTACCTAATATGTCCGTTGTTTTTTTCTTTTTGGAAATTATTGTGCAATCGTAATGTGAATATATACAATATATAGAACATGTAAAGATGAGAATATTTTAATATGTTGTAAAATACAAAAATTATTAGTACGGCCAAGCAATTTGATTTTCACTTCTTGGCTTATCAATGTAAAGGAAGTAAACACAAGACCAATCCCATGTGTGGACAGGTGGCGTTCACTATTTACAAGGCTGTTCAATAGATAACAGATAAATGGTTTATAGAAACAACAAGCACATATTTGCTTTACAATTGCAAGCGGTATTTATTTGTCTTTCTTGATATAATGGTCACTGATATAAACATTTATAAAAAAATAAATTATATCATTTGTTTCTTGAGCCATAAAAGTCTGTTTTCAAGCAGCCGAATACAGAACCTACATAATTCTCTTGTTAAATTTTATTAGATAGGCGCTTTTATGACGTCAAGAGCGAGGGTTTCCAAATATTTCTTTATATTTTTCACCCTAATATAAGCAATTCTCAAACTCAAAATGAATGGAACCGGTTTAATTAAAACCTTATTATTCCTTATTGAAATAATGTAAGCGGTATAAATGTAGGTTTTCAAGAGCCACTAGAAGTAGAGTTGCCTTTGTCATATATAAAGGTTGAGCTCTTTACTATTAAAGTTGCTAATCTTTAATTAGCTTTATCAGTTTTTTTAATTTAAATTATTTGTAGCGTTATTAGGTTCAATATAAAATCTTTCTGGTCAACATTTGATTGCATTATTTTTCCAGTTTTTTAATGTCTCTCTCTCTTTATCGGATAAAATCATAAATTTTGATTATTCGAATTATTTCCAAAAAACAAAACAATAAGGGTCCAGAATAATCAGTGCATGAACAATTATAAGGGTCCAATTCAAAACTGGGTTCTAGTTGCGCAAAATAGTCGTAGATTTAAATTGTCCGCAAAGTGCTGTCACACTTTTCTGCCAAACGGTAATACTTGGAGCGTAAACAGTCGAGTTGGCATTTTTTCAAATCCCCATTGGTATGGTATATTTGTAACGGTCGTGCAACGGTCACGCTGGAACGAACTGCAGGCAGTGGGTCGTCAAAATTTTGTTGTTTTGTTAATCAATAGCAATTAGATAATAAGTAAAATTATGCTCAGACAATTGACACGGTCAGTGCGCCTGACCTCGCGACTACTCACGCAGGTCAACTATTCCTCGAATTCTCCGACTGGCCAGTCACAAATTGCCGTAACCGCGGCCCTGGAAAATGGGCGATGGGCGGAAAAGCTCAAGGCCGCCGGCGTCGAGGACACGGAATTCAACCTCAAGTGCATCGTGTCCCACGTCCTGAAGCAAAAATTTGTAATGTTTCTGTCAGAAAATTAACCTAACAGCCCAAACAACCTAACCTATCCTCTGCAGAACAAGGTTCCGGACTCCTTTGACCAGTTGCAGTTCAATTCCGGCCAGCTGGCGGACTTCGAGCGCTTTCTGGAGGCACGTTGCGCCCGGATGCCGCTGCAGCACATCATCGGCGAATGGGACTTCATGGACATCACGCTGAAAACGTCGCCGTCGGTCTTCATCCCGCGACCCGAAACGGAGGAATTTATGCGCCTAGTGATCGAGGACCACAAGGACGCAAAGCACGTGGACCTGCTGGAGGTGGGCTGTGGTTCTGGCGCCATGTCCTTGTCCATGCTGCACAGCCTGCCGCAGGTGGAGGCCACTGCCATCGAGCGAAGCAAGGCGGCCACCGTGCTGGCGGCCGAGAATGCCCAGATGCTGGGCTTGCTGGACCGCTTTAAGGTGCACAACCACACGATGGAGGAGGACAAGTACCTGCCGGAGGAACTGAAGGACCGGAAGTTCGACCTTATCATCTCCAATCCACCCTATGTCAAGACGGAGGAGTTTCAGTTCCTCCACCCCGAGGTGGTTGTGTAAGTTCAGTTTCCGCGTTTGAGATGAGTCATTTCTCTGATTATTATGTTCTTCCAGATATGAGAACCTAAATGCACTGGACGGTGGTTCTGATGGCTTAAGGGTTGCCCGCCTGGTTTTCGAGCTGGCTTGCCGGCACCTGCGTCCTGGTGGAAAACTTTGGTTGGAGCTGGGAAACGACCATCCGCCGATGGTCAAGACCATCATGAATTTGAAGTTCGAGGGCCGCCTCAAGTTCATCGAGAGCTATAGTGACCAGTATAAGCGCGAGAGATTCGTCCAGATCGAGAAGGTCTAGGCGGTATTACTTCATAATTTACACTTGGACAATGCAGTTAGCTATTACGTTGTCCATGCATTTAGCTGTGATTTGATTTATGACCACAAAACCTGCACGCTGCCTAGAGGCTCACAAATGCCTATATATTAAATATATAGCGGTATTATTCCTTAAGTTTGATTTTTAAATTATGTTGAAAGAGCACGGGTCGAACTAATAGAAGTACTTAGGTAAAATAGATACGTCAGGATCAAGGGCGTCGCCAGGGGGGGCGAGAGGGGCAGCTGCCCCCCTAGAGATTTCAAACTCCTTTATATTTTATTTGTTTAATAAATGTTATAACCCATTTACAAGTTTTTTAGGCTACATTTAATTTTGAAAAAATTAGGGATCCTTGGTAAAATTTAAACAATATAACCCTACTTTTCTATCGAACGAGAAATGTATGAATTGTAGTAGGTAAAGTCAACTTGCCCCCCCCTACGCCATCGGCTGGCGACGCCCTTGGTCAGGATAGCATTGCTTACATGATATATTTTTTGAAGATCCTATAAAGTTTCCTTTAATATGCTTTTAAATTTAAATGCAGTTAAAAGTTAATAAATCTCACTAATTGTTTTTGGTTTGTTTTTTTTTTGAATTAATACAGCAACAACAAATTTGTTAGTTTAGTTCAGCAGTTAGATTTAAAGGGGAAAACAAATAAATTTTACCTGGTTAAAAATCTTCAGGAATTAAATTTATGATCTCAAATTTTGTACTGTGTAGACTACGAGTTGCCAAGGTTCATTGACCAGATCTTGAAGATCGATAAGGTCTGCCTCCTAGACAGTATGAATATTCCGATATGGCTCAGATAATGCAATTAGCTTTAATAATGCAGTTCTGATTTTCGACCAGATGTTCAACCTATATATGGGATACTTAACGCTATCAGTCTTTCGATTTTGTATCTGAATCTCGTAGTAACAGCGCTGCTGAATCGCTGGTCGGGAGAGCTTAAAGCTGCTGGGGGACAGAAAGCTTCGAAGAGCAGCTGGCAGCAACAAGTGGAACAGCTCCACTTCGCTCAGTTGGAAATCGAAGCTCGCGCCGCACGAATCCGCGGAATTTGGGAGTCCAATCCGCGAGTTGAACGCGGATTTTGATTTGTCGCCGTTGTCGTGGCTTTTTAATTCAATTGACGATTTCGAGCCGCGAGCTCCAAACTGCGATCTCCTCCGCGTGGCTGGTGTGTGTTGTTTCACTTTCAAGTATACACTTCACGCTAATAAATTATAATTAACGAATGGGTAAAATTATAATTAAAGGCTTCATTTCAACGAAAATCACAATGAGCAGATAATACAGCCAAGAAGATGAGTGCCAGTCGCGAAGCAAAACAAAAAAAACCAAAAAGTGCAACAACAAAATAAAATAAAAACACGTTAAACAAGAAATCGGTTTGAAAAACCTATGTATATAAAACCAAGTATATACGAAAGTGGGTAAATGAATGAATGTCGGTGCGTGCGAATGGACGAGTATACACCCAAACTTCGAGTCGAAGGCGGTTTGGATTGGAGACTTTTAGAAACCGATTACTCAGATCGTGACATTATTAAATGCATTTAACCCGCCCGATCTGCTGCGATCTGCATCTGTGTGTGTGAGTGCGTGCGTGCGTAAACATGAATGCCTAATAATTGAATACCGGATCGAGTTTTAACTCGGCTGCGTTCTTTTCGGCGACTGGTTCTCCGCCGGAGTTGCCTTTATCGCCTTACGTTTGTAATTTTAGCACACTTTCAATATTTATTGTCGGTGTCGCCCTGCTCCCCTTTTGATAATTGCGAAAAACAAACTGAACAAATGAGATTCAGCAACGATTTTCTGCTCGCCGCGTTAAGCAAATAAGAGCAACCACAAAACGATAATAACAACGAGGAGGCTACCAAAAGCGAGAGCTCATCGGCTGCCGTTGCCATTATTCCACGAATATTGCTGCTGCTGGTAGTTCCTCCTTCGGCAGCAACCTGCAACACCAGTCTGCAGCAGCAACAACAACGACCAATGAGCGAAAGTTTGCCAAGTCGCACGCCGGTTATGTTAGCCAGTGTGGGTTGTTGTTATTCCCCGCTCTTATGTATATTCATCATCCGCACTGTGGGTCAAGGCACTGCGAATTCGAAGAGGTGTGAACGATTTAGGCGCTTTAAATGCTACCGCTCACACGGCACAAGGTCTCCTTAAAACACGGTTGTGGCTAACAAAGTGATATCTTTTGTAATGGTTAATTGCTTAGTTTAGTATACAACGTAGAAACCCTTTACTTTTTGTCTAGCATAACCATTACCCATTCAGAACTTTAATTAAATCAAAATATTTCATAATTGGAGTTGAAAACCAAGTTTTTAAAGTTCCAGACCTCTACTACTTGTACAAAGTGAAAGGGATAAGAAGGAACATCACTTTTCAAATAAACCCAAATGAAACCTAAGTGTTTTTTGTTTAAATACACTCACTACAAACTCACATCCACACGAGTGAACAATGCGAGACGCGAAGAAACCCGACTGAAAATCAAGATACAGTAGTTCTTATCTAGTTTAGATGGCCTTTCTCAGTTGGGGACTGGGAAGCATTGAAATGCAAATACGCTGCCTTCGTAGCTCTGTAGTGTGGGGGTAGCACGGGTATTACGGGTATTACGGGTATTACTGGGGGTTAGCCCAGTCCACTGGCTTGGGGTCGCATCTGATCGATCGTTGTGCGGATGGATGATTAACAATGCCAAGCACTCACCGCTTTCCCACACTTTTTAATCGCTTCCAGCCCAGTGTCACACCTGTGCGAGCAGCTTGGGCAACCGAAAATTCGACGGCGACAAACCATGAATACACAAGGAAATGTTGCATAAACGAAGGTTAGTCCCGCTCGCGTAAAAGGGAAAGAGAGTTCGACTTTTCGACTTTTCGGATTTAAGCCTGCCCACGTCAACGGGGCGGATACAAAGTCTACATGTGTCACAACAGCAACATCGGCATCAGCAAGTAATTGAAGTGCTGCGCGGCGGCAATTGAAGGGGCAGCAATTAACAAAGACCACTGCAACTTAGAGGAATAGTGGAAAATCACTTGTGTATTCAAAAGACATTTAGCTCCTGCAACAAAATGAAGAACCGCCAGCGGCCGCGCCGAATATCGCTAAATGAAAACCACAACAAATACTCGGGCAGCGGCAACATCGATGTACAAATATTTACCAATACAAAGGAGCCCAATCAAGTCAATTTAAATTCATCGTCAAAGCTGCTGACAACTACAGTAACGACGACCTCAGCGGAGGCTGTGGCTGCTGCTGTGGCTACTTCTCCGTCTGCTTCTCCGGCTGCTTCTGCTCATCCCGCTCATCCAGCTCCGCTTCCAGTTGCTCAGATAGCGCAGCCCACGACGGGAATGACGGGGAAGTGCCTGCCGCCGCAAGCCAAGCTGCGGAAATCCAAATCGACACCGAGTCTCAACTTCGAAGGCAGCCAGCCCATGGCGGAGGAGCCCCACTGTCACCGCGTTTCCCCCTTTCCACGGGACCCCGATCCACCGGAGTCACTGCGCTTCGGCTGTGCCCACTACAAGCGACGGGCCATGTTTGTGGTAAGTGCAACGAGCAGTCGATATGCATCCATATCAGTTGTAGCCCCTGCGGAAGTAAGCGATGCATCTCGCTGAACAACAAACGAAAGCAAGAGTCCCGGGCACAGTGCCTTCCAAATGCACTTGAACTTGAGTTAGTATTGGGACGGTGTTCAAGTTTGATTTAGGCTAAATTTAGGGGATTGAAAGTGGGTTCTATACTGCCAAAGATTTTTAGAATTTAGAAAATTTAATTTGTGGTTTATGGGTGGTGTTGTAACAGAGTTGAAAGAAACTTATATTTTATTCAAAATGTTGTTATTAAAAATCCATTATATGCGTACTTTATTAACTTTCTTTTAATTTTTTTTGATCTTTGTTTTAAATTTTATAAAGTTAGTTTTATCTCTGAATTTAATAAAAAGAAATTCCTTTACTTCAAAAAATGCATTGTGATGAAACCTCCAGCTACTTCGGCCGATTTCAATTGATATAAATTATAAAACTTCTACAAAAATGTTTGATATTGTCAAATTCTCAATTAATAATTCATTTTCCAACCAATAAAGACATTCACCCTTAATGAATAATACAAATTATGCGGGTCGAACGCAATGTCTTTGTCTCAGTTAGTTGAATCAGAATCAGACTAATAAATTGCTCTCATGGTTTTGTAGTCACTTATATACACAAGTGACGTGCTATGTTACAAATGAAATAACAATTTTAAACTTACTTATAACTATAGAAACAATTAGGTCCAAACAAATTTAAATGTTCAGATATTTTACTAATGGTTGCTATTTCTTTAAGAGTTGCTATTCTCTTATTAGTTCCATTCATATTTGCACAGCTATTAAATTTTTCACCCATTCGTGAATTTCGGAATTTTTGAAGAAAGTTATGACGGCGCCTTCGGAAGGCATCTGCGCATTCTGCACATTTCGTCGCTACTGCCTCCCCGAAATGGGCATTTAACCTTTATTTATTCGTTTCTAAACAAACAGACCGAATAAAGTGCCTGAAGTCTAAACAGACACCTTCGGCAGTGGTTCTTTTGTGCCCGGTGTAATGTTAATTCAATTGGAGGGAATTACTATTTGCACGGCAATTGTTCGTATTGTGTGGACAGCATCACGATCGCGATGTCCGGAATCCGGAATCCGCAGAGGCTCGAGTAAAATAAGCTGGCCCGTCTGCTCCGGTTCCGATTCACGGCACAGGAATTCTCCGTGGCAGCCGAACCAGAGGCGAGTGGCCATTTAACACCTCCATTCTCCGTTCTCCATTCATCTGGGCAAACAATGCGTTTATCTTCATCGGCCGGGTTGGGATAAGAAATTAAGAGGAATCGTGAAATCGTGTGTGCATATAGAGCAATCGTTCCCCAGCTATATTCAGACCTTTACCTTGGCAATTAGGAGCCACCAGACATAATTATCGGAAGGTGATAAGTGCGGGACCTCATAGTCCCAGTATAGAATGTTAAGGTGAGAAAAAAGATTTAGTGCAGGGGAAAGTATAAGTGGAATTCGGGAAAGCAACTACGAATTCAAGGTGCAATAAATAGCAATATAGTCAAGGTGCTATAGCTCAGCGCTAGCAATAAAAGGAAGAATATAGAAATAATATCCTACTCCTAAGGTATTACTACTTCTTATGTAATTAATTCAGATTCTAGTATTTAGATTACTAAAAAGTAATAGGATGGATATACAGAAACATCTGTTAGAAATTCCTTTAATAGAAAGCACTTCCAAAAAGTGAAAGCAATATAATCCCCTTTAGGTAACTGTGAGCCGAAGCATTCCAATTTCGCGATATGAATAAATCATTTACCCGAAATTCATTCTCACATTAAACCACATTAAAAAGCTTTCCAAAAAGTGTCACGTAAGCCCGAACACGCCCCGACCTGTCCTACATTTTCTATAATCCGAAGGGTTATTCGGTGTTACACGCCTTACACCGAGAGAAATTCGGGGAAGTAGGGGCTGCTCAAGTTATTTGCATTAATGAGGGCCGCATTAACTGTTGAATCAGGTGGAGTGCTTTGTTCTCAAATATTTATATTCGCATTGATGTACGTGTATCCGTCAGCGCAACAATGCGTGAAATTAATTTATACATATCTGTGGACTTAAGCTCAATGTTAAGGCGATGTGTGCAACCCAAGTGGAGCAATGCCCGCAATTACCGGCTCCTCTTAATTTCGAGCGCTTCAGCAGGTCTTGTATTAATTTGACATAGAACCCCTTATTTACCCGCTCCATTGTGGCGGTCAATAAATAAATTTGAGCTGTCTGGAATTAACCAATTGCAGGAACAAAAGCGCCTTAAAACGATCATTAGTGAAGCGCAGCAGTAAAACGAGGGGAAACACAAAGAAACCGGATCCAAAGATTCTACTCCGTTTCTGTGGCTCGGGTGTTATCATCGCATTCGCAGCGGAGTTGAATCAAGTACTTACTACTATATATACGAAAAAGCGTTGTTGAGTTATAAATAATTCCAGAAGATAGTGGAGACGAGTACCGAGGGTGCGAGGCTGTCCGATATAAATAGCTGGGTGTTGGCTGTAACTGAACTGAACTCGGAAAGAGGCATTCTTACATAAGTTACAGAAGGCAAACAAGTGGGGTAAAGACAACCCATCCCGTATCTCACTGTTTGCAGTGGGATATTCTTAAATCAACGCCCAGACAACGGATCGATTTAATAGCGATTCTGGCGCTCTTTATCATAACCAAATGTTTATAGTCAGAGATATCGACCGGCAAACTAATTAGCAGCAACCTAATGAACCGACACGAGTGGCATCTTTACCAGCGGACTCAGTTTCCCCGCTTGATTTGATTAGGATTCCAATTCGGGGCTCAAACGCTTTGATCGAGTTCCAAGTGCAATGTTTATGAGAACGCTAAGTTCAATCAAGACGAAATTGCCTTGGGGAATCAAAGACGTCACTCGGCAATTTTACCTGCCATTTGTTTTACGACGGTTTCCAAGCAGATTTCGTTAATTAGCAAATCGATTTAAGAATTAGAGGCCGCGTCATCGTGGGCCGCTAATGAATTATGTTGCTCGGCAAAGGTTTCGGCAGTCCTTGACTCTTCGAGAAGTGGAGTGGAAACTTATTTCCATTTAAAGTGGAATTTTTTACCCGTTTGCTTTCCAGTACTAATTTTATTGTGTTGCTTTCTTTTTTTTGGATCTCAACGTATTCAGACTCCCTGCTGCAACAAGTTCTACAAATGCCGATTTTGCCATGACGAGAACGAGACGCACCACTTCGACCGCAAAACACTCACGGAGCTGATCTGCTCCGAGTGCAACACGCGGCAAACAGTTCGCGAGCAGTGCGAGAACTGCGGAGTTCGGTTTGGAAAGGTGAGTTGAATCCTGCGGGGTCATCCCTTTAGGGGGTATTTCAAAGTAAATAAGCTTAAGTTCATAATGAATTTTAATTTAGAGGGGATACCAAACCGAAGAGAAGTCTTTCTTGCATAACAAGTAACTCGTATAATCATTCGGTTTTTATGACGCCAAGCTTAAAACAAATAAAGAAAGTTAAGAACAAGTATCATGACTAATTTAAACGTATTAAATATCTAAAAAACAGGGGAATTCCATATAATGTGGTACAAAAATAAACTTGAATAGCAGGTTAACCAATAACTATCAAATAACCACCACAATTGTGGAGATTATATCATTTAAATCATATATAATGTATTAATGAATAATTTGAATAATGGATCGCAGTATAAACACAACTTTTACATTAAGGTTGAATGTTTCTGCACAGAAATTGTGTAAGGTTGCAGGACTGTTTTTTGTAATATTATAATAATAACAATTTACTCCATCAATTCCAGTATACTTGTCTGATCTGCAACCTCTTCGACGACGCGGACAAGCAGCAGTACCACTGCCATGGGTGCGGAATCTGCCGGATCGGCGGAGCGGAGAACTTCTTCCACTGCGAGGTCTGCAACATGTGTCTGCCCATCCAGCTGAAGATCGATGGCCACAGGGTGAGTTCCATTAGGCTAGGCTACTGTCCACTTTGGAAAACATTTGACTGTAAGTGCGGGTCGTGACCTCCGCGATTCGAAAGCAAATCGATGGAACTGCCAGCCGGCCAGGCATATTCATTTTGTGTCAATTCACTGCCAAAACCGGTTGCCTAATTGCTTTTCGTGGCGATCCGCGATCTGCGATCCAGTTGAGTGGACATGAATGTCAAAACTGCTCGAGAGATAGCTTAATTAATTGGCACCAAGTGTGCCAAAGATCTGATGCGGATTTGCATAGCTGATTGGTAAACCCTACTAATTGGCGCTCTCATTTCGCTTGCAGTGCGTGGAGAACATCTCGAGGTCCCACTGTCCGGTGTGCCTGGGCGACATCCACACCTCGCGCATCCCCTGCCACATCCCCGACTGCGGCCACCTGCTGCACAAGATGTGCTTCGACCAGCTCCTGGCCTCCGGCCACTACACCTGTCCCACCTGCCAGACCTCGCTGATCGACATGACCGCCCTGTGGGAGTACCTCGACGACCAGGCCCTGCGCATGCCCGTGCCCCTCAAGTACGAGAACCAGAGGGTGCACATCTTCTGCAACGATTGTCACAAGGTGAGTCGTTTTGGACAACCTAGGGATTTTCTCAAAGGTTTTTCGCATCGCTTCAAAGCATATCACTCATACGTACTGTTGCCTTTGCTCAAATTATTTATTTTTGTTGTTCCCAAACCGCTTTCTAATCTTTGAAGCAACTCTTTAAGAGCAAGTTGCTGTTTAATATTGCATAAAAATTAGATTCCAGCTTAGAATCAACACAATCAGATCAGCTAGAACTCTTACAGATATAGTATGCAAATATTTTTACTTTATGATATCTCATTTGCAGACTTGTTTACTTCAATCTGCTATATAAACGTATAGATGTGTAAGGGCTTTTTATACATCGCTTTTACAGATTAAACCTCTGGCTCCCACAACTTGTTTTTATTTTTTAAAGCCACTAAGGGATTGCCAGCTTAACACAGGAAAACAAAGCTACATAAGTAGAAAATATATAAATACATAGGTATAAGTATATTAATAGCCTGAAATAGGAAATGGCAAAACAATTTCCATACATGTATACCAGCTACGTGTATAGAAGAACTACGTTTCTTATTTTGTTTATAGCCCAATTAAACAAATAAAAACGTACGTTCCGACTTCAACTCTAAAAAATATACCAATAAGTACACAAATGTGTTAATCTTATGAGTATAAGTGTTTGATTTTGTGACCCAGCAGTAACAGTTTTTCACGCAACATGTTTTTAATTTCTCTGCAGACTTCGAAAACCAAATTCCATTTCATTGGGCTCAAATGCATGCATTGCGGTGCGTATAATACGACGCAGGATGTGAAGCGTCGCCTCTCCCTGGTCACCGATGAGCCATCCTCGGCGTGATGTCCACCGATCCACAGCACATCCGCATCAGAAGCAGCATCCACATCCACATTCGCATCAGCAACAGCAACAGGAAATCTCTTGCCATGCTACCCACACGTTAAGAAACTTATTTGTTACCTAAACACAACACAACTGAAATCGAAACGCATTGAATTTAGACCAAATTCGAGCTGGTATCGAATATAAACAAAGCAACTACAAACAAAAGGCTCCCCAATCATTCGGGTGTGCTCTCGAAACCCCTGGAGACTTAAAAGTATTAAATAGGGAAGTGGAATAGTTAGTTTCAATATTGTGATAGGCATGTAACAAAAATGTATCCTAATTGAGTTTTTAAATCTCTAGGGGGTTCAACAGCCCCAACATTTTATACACATTACACATTGGTTTATACAAAATTTCACTCGAATTTTTAAGTATTGTATCTGCAAAAATCTTTTTATGTAAATCTCGAATTTCCCCGCGCAAATTACATTTTAGAAAAGAACCTCTTTAAACTCCTTAAAATCCGTTACGTATGAATTCTCAATAAAAAACGAGAACGAAAACAAGCAATGTTTTGTTTATCGGCAATATATATTTTAATTTGGATACGAGTAATCATAGCAGGACTTAGTTTGTGTACAATTTTTGATTCAATTACAATTGCTTTGGTTAAAATATATAATTATTTTCCTTAGTAATTTTTCATATGCCTAGTTCTATTTTTATTCATATCAATATCAATATCATCACCTTCCCCAGCAGAAGTTTGGATGGTAACGGGTAGAAGGCGTAACAAGATCACTTTTGTACATGGTTAAAATGGTGTTTTATGTAGAGAACTACATCTCTAAGAAAATATCGTTTGATCATCTTGATTGGCAATAGGATTGAGCTATCGCTGAAGAACATTTCAATTTCTCCGACAGACTTTCGAACATCTATTGGAACACTTTAAGGAAGCTGTCCAAGAATTGAACTATGAATTGGGATATTGGTGGCTACAGAGTTGACCGACTACTGCGCCTTCTCCTTCTCTGAAGAGGCTGCAATTCCATCTCCCCCGGAAGCCTTCTCTGCCGCGCGATTCTTTCTGCGCTCCGCAGCCTTTTTCTGACTGGTCAGGTACAGTCCCAGGGCAATCATCACCGCCCAGCTGACGTATCCAATGTGGTAAACCGAGCTGTAGAAACGCCAGATGTTGCTGAACGAGGAGAGCAGGAAGGCCTCGCCCAAGTAGCTGAAGGCGAACCACTTGAAGATCCAGAAGATGACGTCGATCACCCTGCGCACGGTGCCAGTGGCACTCCTGCGCACCAGCTTATCCCACATGTCCTCCAGGGAAACGTAGAAGGGAGCGCCCATGATGCAGAAGTAGTGTCCTGGCCGGAATCCGTGCCAGTAGGCGGAGCACAGCAAAGTAGCGCCAGTTCTGCGGGGGATACAAAGATTAGTTAGTGTGGGAAACAATTGTAGGGGGCATATTATGAGTAACTACTAGGCATACCTGCCAACCCTGCGATCAGTAGCAAAGGGAAAGAACAACGACAATACAAGTAATACAAAAAACGAGCAACATTACAACAAAATCTACAAATCTTTGAATTGAGTTAGTGTAAGAAACTAAATTTGGAGCAGATAGTCAAATTAATTTCCTGGCATCACAGTAACTCTTTCTACAAACGGACTACTGTCTTAAAACTCACCTGTATTTCTTGCTGGGAAACAGTTTGTACACGTTGACAGCTAACCAGTACTGGACACAAACGTTCCAGTGCTTCATGCCCTCGCGGAAGGTCCAGCACCGCTCCACCTCCAGCACCCTCGTGTTCACAATCGTTGTGAAGTTGTACGAGTGCTTGTCGGCGTCGCGCTTCAAGTGCTGGTAGCGTTTACGCGGTCCCTCTCCGTTGTTGGGGTCCGACTCATCCGGATAGGCGCCGAAGCCGGCCATTGTGCAGACGCACTCGCTGAGGGTCAGTCCGGTGTAAATGCGGGCGCGGAATGTGAAGAACGTGGGCCACACGTACAGCAGGCGGTAGACGAAGGAGCGATCGTTGAAGAACTCGTCGCTCAGTGCGTACTGAAACACGCAGGTTAATTAGTAATATTTCAAGGAGGGTTTATGGAAATACCCACATCTAGTGGCCAAATGTAGTTGGTTGCTAAATACAGGGAGCAATAGAAGACAGCGTATTTGAGCTTTTCCAAGGTGGCTTCCACGCTGGGAGCATGGGTCTTGAAGGGCATCTCAAAGTAGTCCCTGTATGTGCGGTACCGATAATATGGACCTGAAAATGAATAAACATTAGATATGCAAGCACTAGATAATACACTTAAAGCAATGCACAAATCGATTATAAGCGTGTGTGAGTAAAGTTTACTATCAGCAATTGAATTGGACTTTGGTATCTACATGTGTTTCGCTTGTAATTGGATGGATTTAAATGGAACCAAGTGCGATCTTCACCTGTCAGAACTCCTATGTAGTTGAAGCTGTAGTGGAGGATCTCAGCGGCACTCAGGTTCTGCAGCTCCACATCGTAGTCGGTGACCTCGATGAGGCTCTCCTGGTTCACATCCCGCTGGTCGTTCTTCTTCTGCTCATCTGCTGCCTGTAGGCGTTTCCAGGCGGCAGTCTTCTCGAAGGCGATACCCGAAACCTGCCATTGGGATGATTTGTGGTAAAGTAATTGTAATGGTAGAGGGTTATGCAACCCACCTTCAGGGTGAGCATCATTTGGATCATGTTCGTGTGGCCCGGAATTCCCAGGTAGAAGTCGAACATGCGGAAGAACACCAGGTAGCCGAACATGACCACGAAGGTAACCAAGTGGCCTTTGCTGGAGGAGAAGGAAGGTTATTAGTAACTGGTTTGCTATGTGAGAATCCTTTGATCTTACCTCGGATGCACCAGGAGCACGGCGGATGTGCCCAGGGCCAGTGAAACGAAGCAGTGCAGGCTGTGGAGCCCGGAGACAATCACAACAACAATTATGCCAAGTGCGGTGGACACCAGCTTTCGCTGGCCCTCGTCCGCGATCCTCTTCACATAGCCCCCGGCTCCAATGCAGGCCAGGAGGCAGATCACGTAGATCACGTCGTCGACACTCATCGTGGTTTTCGTACTCCTCCGCTATTGATTTGCGATTTGTTTTTGTTTTCTGCGTAGGTGCAGTGCAACCCACCAGGGCTGGAGCGAGAATCGATGTTTATTCGATACAACAAAAGCCGGGCGGTGGAGTGAAACTCCGCTATTTCGTGTACCTAGCTCTGCCGGCTCGAGTTACCGAAAGGTTAATACCACGCCATCTGTGTCTTTTGTGTTGGGTGTTAACTTTTGGTGAAGAGCCACCTGCTGAAGAGCCACAGAGCTGAGTTAATATCAACGCTGGCTGGCACGCCATCTATATCTCCTATAGAAGGTCCTATCACTTGTTAATACGCCATCTGGCACCGTATCGATGTTTATTCGATGTTGTCATAGAAAGTTGTATATCATTTAGCTCACTTATTCCGTACTAAATGTGGATGCCATGAAACGTGTTTTTAATAATGATGACATTTGTTTTTTTAAATTTTTTATTATTATTTGGACCAACCATCGGGGTTATATTTAAATTGAAAAATGGCTTCGACTTAACAAAAAATGTTAAAAAATATAAAAATATTTTTTTTACATTTCCTTTACCGTCTTAAATATTTAATCAAGATAATAGCCGCATAAAATGGTATGGCAACTGTTAAAATCAAAATCGCTGCTTGTGAGCAGAAATGATTTGATATTGTAACTTAATCCCCGGAATCCATTACCACTTGTCTCTCTCATTTTAATAAAATCATAAGTGGGATAAATACATTTACAAACGTACTGGCCTATGAGTCGTGTCAGTAATATTTTTTGAAATTCGGAATTCATATTTAGTTTAAATGGTTTACAGTGCATACAGTTTTGTGCTTCTCTGTTAAAAATAATTTAACTTAAAATTTAAAACACTAAAATAGCGATTTTCGCATAATTTCTTTATTTTTAAATAATTTATTTATTTAATAAAATATTTGAAGTGGAAAAAATCTAGCATTTACTTTCAAAAGATGATTAGTTCCAAGATTTTCCCACAATATATGCATGCAACCCAATAAAATGTTGCACAAATTTACAATAGACAATGATTTCCTTGCGAAACTCCAAACGCGTCAGTTGCGGCACTTATTAAATATCAAATCATTAATGCTTTGCAGTGATATTTCCCAACGTCAATTAGATGGGCGGTCAATTAGATGAACAGTTCAATTGATTCCGAACTGAGTCGTTGACATGGGACTGATAATGAGATTCGGTAATCGGTTGTAAAACGCCCAGTTGATAATTGTGATCGGATTTAGCCAAAGCGTTTGCCCACTTTTTGCGACATTCATGAATGTGAGCCGAGAATTTCCCATGCCCCTACTGTCTGTTCTGAATCGGAGTATTGCTACGTCATAAATTGCATATAAAACCGGTAATTGAGACCCAACACGTTTCAGTGGGAAGAAACGCGTGCCTTTATAGAAAAAAATCGGGCAATGCCTCGCATCAGCTGGGTAGATCGTGATCAGAGGCTGACTTCAGAGGGGTTTCTCATCCCGGACTTGAAAATGTTTAATCTAGGGAAAATCCTTGATCTTTCTTACTTGTTTACTAAGTCAGGTGGGTCAGGGTGTGATGATTTGATACTAAGCTAACACTTTAATTTGTTAATGCTTTTTATATACAATTGTGGCTTTTATTCCTTAAATTTTGACAAGCAATGGTCAAAGGTTGTCTCAATTTTAATAGGATAAGATAGTATTAAAGTTCATTAGATCCAAATAAAATATATAATTTTAGGGGTAGAAATACTCTACATGGCCACTTTATTTTTTTTATTTCTGTTAAAATTTAAATTAAGTGCAAGCCTTAGGTTCAATATCAAATCAACTTAAGTTTCCATAAAAGGTAACTGGGAATATTCCGAGACCCTATTTGTAAAAATGTTAGTGGTTTGTTTCTGATTGATTGCTAAATTCAAAGAGATTCTGAGTGGATTTCCCGAAAGCTTTCCCCCCTTTAGCTCCGCCTCTGCTTCAAGCGGGTTACGGTCGCGATCGCTTGATCAGTGCGATTTAATGGCGAGCTAATAGCATATACGAGCAATGACGTGCTCGGTGCGTTCTAGGGAGTTGCTCTATCAAGCCCAGAATCGCACTATGACTAGTTCAGCCGGGTCAGGCGAATATAAAACCAGCTGGACCGATCGAACAGATCAACAGAGTGCAGTAGCCAGTGGAACCGATAGCTTCTCCTGCTGCAGCTGATCCAACAAATCGACCTACAATGTGGACTAAACTATTTGCAGTTTTGCTGTTGACAGCTTCGCTAGGTGAGTTTACTTTGTGGGGATTGGAAAACACAGAGCTTGATTATAATGCATGATCACCTGTAATCAGCCCAAGGCAAACCCAGTGGAAACGAAGTCGAGGGCAACTACGACTCCGAGATGAGCGCGTTCATGGACGCACTGCCGAATCTGGACGACACCCCCGATGGATTCGGTCAGCGGTCGGACATCTCGGCGGAACCGGAGGCGGACGACATCCTGGCCAACCTGGACGACGAGTACGAGGGGGCGGAGCACTGCGCCTGGAACCAGTGCGACAAGGACCTGAGCGAATCGAGGGGCATCGGGCGGTTCCTGGACCTGCCCTTCATCCGGAAGATAGCCAGCAACCTGAACCCGTTCGCCAGCAAGAAGCTGCGCATGCAGTTCTACCTCTTCAAGCGGGAGTTCCCCCAATGCGGACGGGAGCTGGACTTCTCCAGCGAGCAGAAGTGGCGGAGCTCCGGCTTTAATGCCTCCCTGCCCACCAGGCTGATGATCCACGGCTGGATGAGCCAGTCGCGGGGATCCTTCAACCGGGACGTGAAGGACGCCTATCTGAAGAAAGGGGAGTACAACGTGATCGTGGCTGATTGGAGCGCCAGCTCGGCGAACATCAACTACTTCTCGGTGGTGAACCTAATCGAGACCTTCGGAGCGCAGCTCGCCCAGTTTGCCAGGGACCTCAACCGCCAGTTCGGAGCCGACTTCGACAGCATGTACTTCATCGGTCACTCCTTGGGAGCCCAGATCGCCGGTTCGGCGGGAAAGAGGCTGAAGCCGAGCCAGGTGAACACCATCTTCGCCTTGGATCCGGCGGGGCCCAAGTTCCGCCATCGCAGCGCCGAGTTCCGCATTGATCCAACGGACGCCAAGTTCGTGGAGTCCATGCACACCAGTGCCAACTTCGGGTTCCGGCGACCCACTGGCAGTGCCACCTTCTATCCGAACTACGGGGCCTACCAGCGCAGCTGCTACTACCTCGGCTGCTCCCACATCCGCTCCTACCAGATGTTCGCCGAGTCCATCAACTCGCCGAAGGGATTCTGGGGCACTCCCTGCACCCGGGACGAGGGAAGGTGGCAGTGCGACCAGAGCAAGCGGCAGACCGTCCAGATGGCGGGGGAGCCCTCCGTCCACAAGGAGGGCATCTTCTACGTGAGGACCTCCTCCGGCGATCCCTTCGCCCTCGGCAAGCAGTGAGGATTGGTTGGCCACTGCTATGAAGTTATTTTAAAGTAGATATAGTAAATTAAATGTGATTTAACTGTACCAAATAGTGCTTCGGAAATTAAACTTAATAGAAACCCTTTAAAAGAAGTATTTTTATAAAACCTTTTTTAAATTAAATTTTTACTTCAGAATCTGGTAGATTAAATCATTTGAATTAGGTAATATTTTGGTTTAAATAGATAAACAAGCAGTTAATATAAAGTAGTCCAAGTTCGTTGTTGAACATTGGGTTTTGCGCTCCTATATCATTTGAATCATTTTTATGATCTTTTATGGTTTTAGTGTGACTTTAATTTCTACGTTATAATCTTCTTATAAACAAATTTTAATTAATTCAGAGAGTTCACAAGAATGTGATATTTCTTTTAAAATCCCTTTCTTAACAACTTAACTATCTCAAATATCCCAGTATACAGATTAAGTGATTTAACTCCATAAACAAACCCCTATTGTTATGTTAAAAAAAACTTGCACTTTTTAAGATACTACTTCACCTTGCTTTAGTTGGATATTTCCCAGCAAAGTATGCTTATACAACATTGACGTCCACAGGATCAAACAAGTCATTTTGACCTGATCCACAGCCGAGTTAAAATCAACCTTTTAGTTTTTTTGTTACCCCACAAGATGTCGGCCGAAATTGAGGAGATGCTCAAGCGCTACCAGAACTTCCCGAACGTGGTGGGCATCATCATTCTGGACCCGTTCGCCATCCCGATCAAGACGACCATGGAGTACACCCAGACGGTCCACTACGCGGCCCTGATCAGCACCCTGACCTTCAAGGGGGCCAAGATGGTGGCCAGCTTGGACGCGAGCAACGAGCTGCTGAACATACGGCTGCGCACCAAGCAGCACGAGGTGCTCGTCCTGCCCTCCGAGAACTACATCATCATCGTGGTCCAGAACCCGGGCACTTGATCCGCCTCCGAACGAACGAACGAACGAACTCCAATAAACCATTCGCTACACCATTATGTTTGGCCGAGTGCAATCGCCTTTATCTGGTTTTAATTAAAGTTGCAAACTCGGGATTGGGATTGGGATTGGGATTGGGAGTCTGGGCCAATGGCGCATCTTCGGCGGCGTGAAATATGCGAGTTGGCGCTGGCTCGGCGTTAATTGCCGCAGATAAATACACGCCGCGTCGCCATAATTACGACAGACAGATTACGGGCCGCACTTAATTGTCCGCCGTAAAGTGTTCCCGGTATCTCTAATCCGGCCAGTGAGGAGCCACTTCAAGGAGCTCCTCCTGCTCGATTTTAATTATTCGGCGACGTTCTCACTCTCAGCCGCTTGCATATTCATTGGTTCCCCGTTTTTTTGGGGGGAAAGGGATATAATTCGTGGGCTTGCACCGCTTTGATTTCCATTATGGCCAACTTACGGATTTTTCCTCTCTCACCTGGCTGAAACTTTACCTGCAATGTGGTCGGCCATGGCCAGATAAGCAATCCGAATCGGTCACAAAAGTGGCCAGGAGGTAAGAAGGGTCCTCAGTGATTTTTTAATATTTCTCCGCTTGCTTTGGAGAAGGGCAAAAGATTTTATTAGCTAAAGAAGAAGGCCTATGTTTCTTCACAATAAAAAGTGCAAAAAGTTTTCTTGGGCTAAAAGGAAATTCATTTAATCTGTCTATTTACCAAAAGAACAAAATTCCAAAATTGCCATCGAACAAAATTTAGAAAATTGTGCACAAATTGTTGAATCGTTCTATCCATGAGAAAATGTGTCAACTGATTTTTTTGACCCCTCCACCTTTTTACGGATACAGCTCATTTCCATTTTAGGTTTCGGACTGAAAAGAACCCAAAAACATCAGAAAAAAATAACAAAATTTTGTGTAAAAATTTTCTAAATTTCGAAAAGTTTGATTTTTCTCTGAAAAAAAAAAAAAAATAATGGAGTACGGAAACGGTATGCAGTTCGGTGGTTTTGGCCAAGGCGGTGAAGTGAGTTTAGCGAAACTCCTTTCTTGAGCGTAATAAAATGTGGTGTTTGTTTAGGGTTATGAGGTGAACTATGACCAGATGAGCACTAGCCAGGGATATGGCCAGGAGCAGGGTGGCTTTGGCCAGGAGTCGAGGAGCTACCAGAGCGGATCGGCTGCCCTTGGAGGTCCTGGATACCGCAGTCCCCTGCGGTACAGCAAGATTCTCCGCGAGATGAACTCCCGCAACGGACTCTAGTAAGCGGAACTGCATGGTAAACACTTCCGGATTTGTAATGCGTGTTCCCCATCCTTAGTTCCCCCATGGAGCAGCAGAGGGGAGGTGGCCAGGGCGACTACTACAACACTCTGCCCGGCCTTGGTGGCCACGAAGGTCAGACGTACCAGTCGCGTGGAAACGGAAACTCCTACTACTGAAAGTTGTCTTGCGCATAGTTTGTGGAAATTTATAAATTCGAGGTGTTTCAAGAACATACAAATAAAGTTTCAGATGTAATGTTAGATTTCAAGAACTTAAGATTGTCGTATTTTAAGAGTACATTGAATATGTTCTGTACTTTAACAGCTTTAACGATTGAAAATTGCGTTCTCCTCTTGCCTAGGAATAATTCATTACACTTTTAGTGTAATGGAAGAAAATACTATAAGAAACATTGTTCTATATAAATAAAATTCACACTGATTTGCCGGGCAAACTGTAATGTCTCTGTATGTGTATAAGAATTAAGAAAAAATGGCTTCAAGAATTTGGTAGATAAGGTTTTTTTTATTAGGCTCGATACAAATGTATTGAAGTTATACCCAAGACATTTTTTTATATATTTGTACCCTTCCAGAGAGTATGATAATTTCAGTCAGATGCTTTTTTTTAGGTCTCTTGATTTTTTTCGAATTATATTTAACAAAAATCCAGTGGCTTTATCTGTTGGAACATTGTTATGTTTAGTTTGAAAGCAACTGGAATGTGTAACACAGCTGATCGTAATGACCGACAGCCACCACAGTTATAAGTCTATAAGAGCTTTAATTTCACTTGATTTAATGAAACGGGGTACACTGAGACTATCACTGTAGCAGTTATCCAACTCTCCTACATTATCAAATAGCTGTCGTAGAAACAATCGGTGAAAATATAGAAATATAATGGAAAAATCGTCATAGCTTCGTTGTTGTTTAGCCTTTATGCAATTTGTTTGGCATTTATGATGACTGTAAGGGTACATACGGTAAGGTTCGGCCTGCCAAAGCTAACTTCTTTCCTTGTTTTAAAAAAACTCTGATAAATTTCAGGGTAAAGTAAATAGCTTCGAATATCATCGAATATGATAAAGTATAAAACACTGTTATAACATTCATAAAAAAATATGTCCTTAACAGCAAACTGGAAATCCTTAAATAAATGTTTTGGGTTTTTCTCAAACTTATAAACAACATAGTAGTCTAGTTTTATTTTTGTTTTAAGATGTCAAAACCTAGAATCGTGTTTGGTTTATTTAAATTAATCTTTGATAGAGTAAGAAACAGATAAAAACCTCAAATTATATCCAAATTTATTTTGTTAAAATATTCTATACAAAAAATGGACCCTAACTACTCTTCGTTCGCTCCGTTTTCCGGCTTTTCCTATATGCCCACACCCGAGGAGTACTATCCTGAGGTAGGGACTATATAAACCCCGATCCAGACACTATAGTTTGACTTAATTCTTTAGATGAGGGGCACCATGCAGCGAGAGCAGCAGCAGCAGCAGCAAAGAGGTGACTTTGAACGGGAATCCAGCCGAATGTCCATTCAACAGCCCCCTCAACCTCCTGTTGGAAATCGGTATTATCCGCCCCAGAGGGCTATGGACATGTCCGATGGCCTCCAAGCCAACTCCTACCATCCGGCTCGCCATCAAGCCATCAGTTCTTCTGCCTATCGCTGCATGGTGCGGGATCAAAAGCGAGCCAAGGAAATGATGTCCCGCAACGGGTTGTAGTAAGTCCAAGTCTTGTATTCCTTTAACCACTCATATTGCAATCCATTCTTTACAATATTCAGCTCTCCCTTTGAAATCTCTGCACGTTTCAGTGGCGGCGATGCGAGTTACTATCCCAAAGAAGCCGGTGAGTTGTTTGTTTTTCATTTATAAAACCAGAAAGAAAGTTTGGATTCATTGCAATTCATATTTCATTAATTTCACAGAGGGCAACAGGCGAATGGATCCTCGTGGTGGAAATTCTTTTTGGTAATTCTTTGTAGACATATCATCTGGTGTTTCTTTATTTTAACTAGTTTGTAGTACAATGTAAAAAATAAAATTGAAAGTAAAACGTATACTTAGCTTACTCTTTAATAATTGGAATTTCTTAATTTTGTTTTAAGTGGAGTTTGAAATTTGCAATCCTAAGCACTTTCCCTGTTCGGATGTTTCCCTTATGATAAAATATATGTATTTAATAGGAATGATAAGATTTCACAGAAGGCAAAAAAGGGTTACTCATTTCAATAAGTTTTTATTACAATTTTAGAAGATACACTTTTCAAATACTGTGCACTCACTTATAAGTTATAAAACCCTTTCGATTTTTTTCATGGGAATGCTATGTTTTCTTAATTTCGTCTCTAGTGCCTTTTGTATTTTGCAATCCTAAACAGTCCGTTCATATTTAAAGTCCGCTTAGATAAATGGGAGGAGCAGAACAGTTGACACTGCTTGAGGGTAATTAACGTGTGTTTTATGGCCATTTGGCACTGCATGGAACCACACGCAACCGTCACCCGTCCCGATCCACCCACCACATCAGAGAACCACCCGCCCGGTGGCTCCAGGAGAGGATTGTGGATGGTGGACGGTGGATGGGTGGGTGGTTGGCTCAAGTCGCCCAAACCAAACAGAATGCAATGAAGGATTAAAATAAGAAAGATGTGCAAATAAAATATTTTACAAAGCGGACAACGAGGACAACTTTTTGTCCAGGGTCGGAAGATTGGGAAGTGGGTTGTCGGGTGGTTGGGTGGTTGGCTGGTGGGGAGTGGTTGGGTGACGGTCCGAAATGCGAACGGAACATGTCGATTGGGAGTGGGTAGTGCAGAGTGGAGAGTGGGGGCTCCTGGAGTGAAACACAGACAGAGACGGACTGGGAAAAGGACTTCGACCAACAATGGCAACCAGACTGAAGCTTCAACCAGAAGTTGCACCACTCGGGGATCGCTGGCATCGGTGGGTGAACCCGAACGAGGACGAGGATGTGGATGTGGATGGGATGCAAGGGGAGATGGCACTGCATGGTAGCATTGTCAAAATAAATCAATCGGTTTTATGTTGTTTTCTGGAATTTCTGTTTTGTTGCTTTGTTATTTTGTTGCCCGCCGCCGTCGACATCAGGATGCCCCGGTGTGGAACAGTTGCAGGAGCAGCAGGACCAAGAGCAGCTCCAGCTTGCGGTGGCATAAATCAGTTGGCCGTTGGACCCATTTATGAAAGGATAAACCAAGCACACACACACACACACACCCCGATACACTCACACCCACACCCATCTGGGGATCGCCCGGCTCATAAAAATGCATAAGTTCCGAAAATTGTGTAAATAAAAATACAAATTTTTAACTGGCGCCCAGCCCGGTTAGGAATTTCTGATTTATCTCGAAAGGAATTAAGATGTCTCAAAAGTTCCAGCGGGCCACATTAAAACATCATCCGATCTGGAGACAGACCCCAGATGAAGGGGGAAATGGGGAAGTAAGCCAAGTCCAACGCCTCTCGAATTCCTTCTATCAGCTCCTCATAATCGTTCACACTTCCTCCGCCGGCAACTTTGGCTTTGTGGCTCCAAGGGGAAAGGGGAGATGCGGGTTCGGATGGTTTAACGAAACTTTACTGCATCTCTTTGGACGCGTCTAAAGTGATTTCCTTTTAGGATTTTCAAAAACTTTCACCAAAGGTAAGTAAACACCGCACTCCTCCTCCTCCGCCTCCTTCGCCTTTCCCCGAATTCAGAATCCTGAGTCCCTGGCAGCCTTGCCACACATGAATCCCGGTCCGAATCCTCGGCCATGTGGCAATGTGGCCATGTGCCCCGCTCTAATGAAGCACATTCCGGCGGCGCATTTGCCTCCCCGACTCCTTAATCCCTAATAACTTTTAAGCAACTGACTTACTACGCACACAAAGTGTCCAAATTCATCATCTTTGTGTTGGCATTGAATGTGGGAACGGACCGGCTTGTTTGCCGGTGGATCCTGCCAGCAAGCCCAAGGACTTAGCCTTCATTTTAAGTCCCTGGTTCATTAGTAAATTGAAAATATGCAACGCTAAAAAGGTTTAAAACATCGGATTACTTTGGAAATTTCAAGATTTAAAACCAAAAAATATGTAAAAGCGAATGAATTATTAAGTAAATAGAAAATATTTCATTATAATATAATATAAAGAAACAATGATCCGCAGATAGTAAAAAATTATCTTTTATTTTTCTGTTAACCGATTAATTTGAGGTGATAACATTTACTGAAAGAATTCAAATTTATGTGTTTGTACCATATTTATTTTATATAACGCTGAAAAAGAAAGAAACTTAATATTAAAGAGAAATATTTTATAGGCTAACATTTTAACATTACTTTGATTTCTGAACTCAACTGAAAAAGATTTACAAACATAATACAAAGACCCATTATGTTATCTCTTTATTTTTAACTAAAATTTTAAAAGATCAAACGCTGATTGCCCTCAAAACCTCATTAATTGGACCAATATTAATAAACGATGAGATTAACCTTAAATGTGCCACACTTAGTTGTCCTGAGTATTATTATTTGTTGACCAAAACTTTGTGTCCCCAGAGAAATGAATGTTTATGCGTGAAATTAAAACTGCGTGAAAAATGCGAACCGAAGATGGTCGGAAAGGCGAGGCAAGTTGGGAAATTGTTTTTAAATTAAGATGGCAATCCTCCCAAGTCCAAGAAAAACTCCCTCACAAAAGAAAAAAACCAAAAAAGTTGGGGAGGATGTCAAGTTTGCTGGCGTTGAGGGAAGAACTTATGTTTCGGCTTCTCGGCCGAGCGAAATTTGATTATGTTCGCGGTTACACTTCATTCGTCGTGATGTCTTGCAACCACCGCCCACCTGCCCCTCCCCCTCACCCCCCCCCTTTCCCACCCCTGAAGTTGACATAAATTTGTTGTAAGTCCCCTCTCGAGGCTCAATTTGTTTAGCCCCCACTCCCCGCAACAAGGAATTTATGCGATCAATTAAATTTTTCAAATGACCGAAGAAAAGTTGTTCTCGCTTTTTAATTTTCATAAATTTTACTTAGAAACTGCGCCTCTTGTGCCACAGTAAATTTGTTCTTATGGCTGCTTAATGTGTCAAGTTTTCCGTGTACACTGTTCGGTATCTCCGAGAGTTATGAAAACGATAATCAGATTTTATGATGATTAGAAATTAGAAATTTAGAGCCGGCGATGAGAATTTATTGTAAATGAGTGGAAACTTTCGAGGGATGGGGGAGTGGCAGTCGAGGAAAAAATGTGTCCAGTGAAAGTAAATCAAATGTAAATCATCGACAGGCGAAGGAAAAGCCGGACAAACTTTCATCTTTGGCGGAGCCAAAAATGAAATACAACACATTTCAGGGGGAAACCTTTACAACTAAATGCGGATAATCTGTAAGTTTGCCTTTTGCCCAAATTTATGGGAAACTGGGTGGAGTTTTCCCCATATATATTGTTGTTGTGCTTTTTCTTGGGTGCTCGCTCTGTATAGTTTTTCCCTCCGGGCGCTTTTCCCCTCCCCTCCCCTCGATTTTCCTCCGTCTATCTTTGCCAGCGAGTGAAAAACGCAGCCCGCAACTAAAACATGCGCATTCAATGGGTGACGCCGCTTTTCCCACCCACTTTTCCTCCCCCGCCCCGCAACCCTTCTTCCCTCCCCTCCCCCTTTTTCCACCTCCTCTTGGCTGCTGCAATTCATTTCCAGCAGGCGTGTGTGTGTGTGTGCGGAGATTTACCGTTTTATACTTGACATTTCCAAAAGTTTAAGTTTTAATTTATGACACCGCCGCTTTCTATACGAGGCGACAAGCTAAATATGAGCGAATGGGGCGTCCTTAAACAGGATATCTGGCCATTGTCGCTGCCCCCCGCCTCCTGCGCCTCGAGGATCCTTTCCAGCTCGTCTCTTTGAATGCTTGCGAGGAACCTCACAAAGCCGTTGTCCACTTCTTGGTTGTCCTCTCAGGGGCTAAGAATTAGCTGTTAAGATACAAAACTCTTAAGTTGTAAGCGAAGAAAGTCAGGGAAAGTATAAGTTTAGGCCCTGTATATTTTTTGTACCTTCTTTACATTGTGGTAATTTAAAAGTTAAAATTTGTTTTGGGTTAAGCGTAAAATTATTTAATGCAAAAGACGTTAACGTCAGAAATATAAATAGGTAAATTCGCTGTGCATCTTAAATATAAATTAATGCAATTTCCCAAAATTAATATTAATATTATTTAGGAAAGAAGCTCTTTAATTCATACTCTTGAAAGATGCGAATATGATACTTTTGAAAGCTAAATGTTAAGAAATATTTATAAGTAGATTTTGCACAATATTTGATTATATCATTGGCTTGATGGTTGGCCAAAATTATAATTTAAAACCAATTCTTCAAGGAATGAAAACCTTCTTAGCCAAAAGATTATATTGGTTTTTCTTTTTGGTGAACTACTATTATGTACATTTGTTGCTCCCAACCAGGAATTATTCTCCACCAGGTTAAAATCACATCAGAGTCCACGGACTTTTCTCATCAAGGAGGAGTCGCGATTGGCGAGCATGTAATTTGCATTTGCGCGGCCGAAATGAACTAATAAACACACCGGAAGGCGAGTCAACAAATTGTCGACCCCGCAGCGACCGCCCGCCGGAGGTCAGAGGTCAGCCGAGGGCGGGGCCGGGGTGAAGTGTCCTGTCCGCTGGCACATAGCTGCTGGTTAATAGGCAGTGCCGCGGTTCTTGGCTCAAATTGAAAGTTATTCAAGGCAAAAGGTCGCCGCCGAGGCCCAGATGGCAGGAGTTGGCCTATGGGCCTTCTGGCGGAAATTGTTACACGACGCCAGGCCGGAAAAACGGGGAAAGCGGGAAAACGGGGGGAAAATGGCAACCACAACAGCAGCAGTTATTGCCGTTGTTGTTACGGCTCCTTCTCTGTGTTATTTTTTTTCTGCGAACAAGATTCGAAAAGTTTATGCCGCTTGCTGTCACGCGGCGGTGGAAAATGAAGCCGAAAGGGGAGTGCCTTTGGTGACCTGCGTGCGATTTTCCAGAGGAAAATCCCCCCTTCCC